CCGGTTTTTTTTTTTTTTTCCCTGGAAAAAAAATTAAAAAGGGGGGGGGGGGGGGGGCCCCTGGGGTTTTTTTTTTTTTTTTAAAAAAAGGGGGGGGGGTTTTTTTTTTTTTTTTAAAGGGGGGGCTTTTTTTTTTTTTTAAAAAAAATAGGGGCCCCACTTCCTGGGGGGGGGGGGGGGGGTTTTTTGGGGTTTTTCCCCCCCTTTCCGGGGAAAATTTGGGGGGGGTTTAAAAAGGGGGGGTTTTTTTTTTTTTTTTTCCAACCCCCCTTTTTTCGGGGGGGGACGCGGGGAAAAATTTTGCCACCCCGGGGGGGGGGCAATTTTTGTTTTTGGTGAAAGGGGGGGGGGGGGGGGGGGGGGGGTCAGTTCGAACCAAGTCAGGCTCCGGCAAAAAAGAGCTGTTGCTGCACGGTTTGGATGCAGTGTCTTAGCGTGTACGGGCTTCCGGCATAATGCCCACTTTATGCCGAACGCTGTTTGAATTATTGTCGTACCCAACTTGTAACCGTCGCTCCCAATTTCCACCTAATGCCCGGTCAAGCGTACTGCTGTACCTAGAAAGGATGGCCTCCTCAAGGGAAGCTCTTATCCGCTCCTTGCGAGAGTCGAACGCGGTGAGCATCTCCTGCGTCAGTTTCTTGGGAAGGGGTTCCACCAGCTTCTCGTAGTGGCCGAGGTTGGAGTCCTCCAGGATGGACTCCAATGACTCCAACTGGGGCCCGTAAATCGCCGCGAGGTCGTACGTACCCTGACGAACGAAATTGACGAAAACAAAACAAAACATCAGCAGCAGCAGCAGCAGCAGCAGAGGATGAGCAAGAACGCGGGCAGATACGGCATTGCTCAAGAACTCACTCCCGATGTTTCGCTGCTCGTCGCTGTGAAGTTGTGAGTATTTCAATAATCATCGAACCACTTTATTGCGCCTTTCTGATGTGCATGCGAATTGCCTGTAGGGGGGGGCTTTCTCTCGGTGGACGCTTGGGCCAGAAGGCGACAGCGACAACGCGGCGGAACGAAGTTCGCCTGCGACGGCAGTCCTCCGGATGAACTGCCCTCGGCAGTTCCCGCTACACGGAACTGAGGCTCATGGACATAACCGTGTAACAGATAACCGTACCATGCACCGGTGTTATCGCGTGCCGCAGGAAGATGGAATATTCAAGTTGTACTTGACCACTTTCGTACTGGATACAAATGCCAGATCGGATTCTCGGTGTGAAACAAAAACATCAGTAGCAACAACAACAGCAGCAGAGCAGCAGTAGCATCAGCAACGGCGGCAACACCCGCAACCACACCAATGGCTTCCTCCAACAACACACCTCCTTCTGCCGCTTGTAGACGAAGTTCTTGAAATCCCTCAGGACCCCGTCCGTCACCACGTCCGTCCCCTTGAACGTGTGGGTCTTGGTCCACTGCCCGGCGAAGTCGAAGTAGGCTCCTTGCACCTGAGTGGAGAGCAACACGCACACACACGAACATTGGGTCTTCTCTTTGTACTGCAGAAACACGACACTGCAACACGCACACAAAATATCGAGTCGTCTCATCAAACTGCGCAAGCAGGACACAGGGCACGGTCGTCTAACTCCTGCGCCCCCCCTGTTGGTAGAACCCTTTGAGTAGAAAGGCGTGTTTGCGTTTCGTATCCCGCTGAAAGACTGGCGTCTTCTCCTTGCTCAGTCGGCTAGCGCGGTCGATGCGATTTCAAACACACACACACAACAACAAAAAAAAAAACGCACAGAAAGAAAACAGCTCGTCACCTTCAAGTCCAAAAACGGCTAAACCGCGATCACCCAACAACAACTACTGCTCTTGCCATGACGTCATCCGCCCAAGAGCCAAGAAGAACTACTTTCGTTCACCGTTCGTTAAACACATACCACAACCACACGAACGAAAATATTCTGTTCCGGTGACCGCAGCGCCGCCATGTACGGCAAATCACCGCCCCACTGGTGTCAGCTCTTGTCACTTCGGGGACAAGGAAATGCGCGCCTTGGCCGAGCGGCAACGGTCCCGTCGATGAATGTACTGAAAGAATGTAGGCAAACATCCATCGCCCTCCACGGATGAATAACCTCCCTCCCCCCACCCCCAGCAGAAGCCTCAGGTGATGTAGGATCCTCGATGGATCTTCGACATCACACAATCGCATCTCAACGGTTCAAAAAAACTCACGTGGCACCGATGGCGACGGCCGACAAAACACCGCCACCAACAAAAGAAAAAAGTCAGTCCGTTCCAACCCACCTGTAGAGCTATCTCGAGTGCAGATGGCTTGGGGAGCTTCACCTTGACGTCAGCTTCAACGCCTCCGCCATCGAAAACCACTCGACCGTGCTGCAAAAAAATCAGAGCAAGCAAATTTCCAGCAACACACCACGTGGGTGCACACCCAAAACAACCGCTTGTATTCACGCGAAAAGGGAGGAAGGGCAAGCGCCGGTTTGAAACGTACTTCCAGATATCTGGAATTGAACCGTACAGCGAGTGGAACGAAGAGGATCGATGAAGCTTTTCACGCGAAAAGGGAGGAAACGCAAGCGCCGGTTTGAAACGTACTTCCAGATATCTGGAAATAAACCGTACAGCGAGTGGAACGATGAGGATCGACGAAGCAACAGACTGTTTTGCTGCTGCTGCGGCTGCTGCTGAGCACATCGCTGAAAGTGAAAATAACGTCTGCGGCAGAGGTGCCGTCAAAATTCCCCAACCGAAAGGGATGAATGCCCCAATCTCGCCGGCGGGGGGGGGGGGGCGACAACGACGAAGAAGATGGAGCATAGCCCTGAGGGAAGTGAACTGGAGGAAGACCGGGTACGGTACCGCCACCATCACCTTCTGTCGCGACCGACATGCTGGGCTATTGCAGTAGCGGCAGGAGTCGGGCACGTCGCTCCTGGGGAGGCCAGCGGGCGGCCGGTGCCTGGAACAGTTCGTCCGAGAAGTGGCAAAAAGCTGTGCCGAGTCGGTCTCGGGGCAACAGCCCTACTGCATACCACACGGCAGCGCTGGGTAGATACCGACCGGGTTTGTAATCCCAACACCGAACCGCCGCCGCAGAGTAAGAGTGCTGGCGTAATTTGTTTGCTGGCGGTGCGTGTGGACGACCATGCCCAGAAACCCCTCAAGCCCAGCGGCCTTTGAATGGCGCGGCTACCAGTGAAGTCTCTCTCGATCTGGCTCCCTTTGACACCCCACGAGAGTTAGGGAGTTTGTCGGTGGAGACCGTCGAGGTCACTTTGGGGTTAAAGGAAAAGCGTCAAAACATGAACCGACCCCGCTAACTTGTTTTCACTCCCCTCGAGAAATCCCTTTTTTTCTTTTTTTCGGGAGGAGCAGAAAGAGGCTGACGGGGTCGGTTCATGTTTTTGGCGCTATCTCTGCCCCAAAGTGAACTCGGGCGGTGTTTACGGACAAACTCCCCAACTCTCGCGGGTTGTCGAAGAGCCAGCTCGCAAGGGCGGCCGTGACATTCAAAAGCCGCCGGGCTTGAGGGGTTTCTGGGCATGGTCGTCCGCACGCGCCACAGGCAAAGGAAGCCAGCACTCTCACTCTTCTCTGCGGTGGCCGTGACGGTGGCGGTATTGGGGCCGCAAGCCGGGGCGGCATCTGCACGGCGCTGCCGCGCACTCCTCTGTTCGTCAATATAGGGACCATTGGGACAATCGCATATTCGAATGGTCCTTATATTTGAAAACGGAGGGGTATGCAGGAGGGCTGGTGCCCGACCGACTCAGCAGAGCGGCTACCGCTTCTCGCACGAGGCACTGACTGTTCCAGGCGCCGGCCGCCCGCTTGCCCTCCCCCGAAACGAAGGTGCCCGACTCCTGGCGCGAGCCCAGCATGTCGGTCGAGGCAGAAGTTGATGATGGCAGCAGTCCCCGGTCTCTTCCTCCAGTTCACATCCCTCCTCGTTGTTCAGTTCTCCGCTACGTCTTCGTGGTCTAATCGTGGAGCTTTTGTCATGACGTGGCGGGCAGGGCAAACCCGTTGAATAACACACAGAAGATTGTGAAGCTAATCGGTTAGCCGCCAGCCTTGTCGGGCACCGGTTGCACCCCTAGAAGCGAAGCCCGTTCTTGCCTTGAAAACAACAAGGCTCGAAAAAGGGGGCGGTACGGAGACAGGTCCCCTTCACATAGGGCACAATCTCCCGAGCGTCTAATGTCGAGGACGATGTACTCTCTTCATAAAATCACTGCCACATTTTTTTTTTAGCACTACTTGTTCGATTCCCCGAAACCATTTATCTTGTGCAAACACTTGTTCTTTTAGTAAACGTTCATTTTTCTCCTGGCGAAATTCATTGTTGAGCAACGATTCATTTTTCGATTAATTCTTCTTTGGGCAACATTCATTCTTGGAAACATAAAAAAAATCTTGTGGGGGCTCCGCGGAGGTTGAACGCTCCGCCAAATCTACCCGACCGGTGGTGGACGTGCCCATTATCCCGTAAATAGCGAGTCACACTCTTGCCAAAGGCCAACCAAGTTGCGGAAAAGATACAGCTGCGATGGTCGCGCAGTAGTCTCTCCCCGTGGCAATGAGTGACATTGACATCACATTTGTATTCCTGTGAAACTCCAGGGATAGCACGTCAATAGACAATAGAGCAACACAAGCTCCTGGGCGGTGATGAGCGTTTCGTGACGACTAAATGGCTATCTCCAGACAAAGCGGACAATAGAACGCTCAACAAATACACGAACCAAACGGAAAAAATTGCACTTTGACGAAAATCACTGAAACGAAGAATGAAACAGGAAGCAGAATCAAACAGAAAAACACAGGAAACCCAAAGAGTGAAACAACATGCAGAATGAAAAGAAGAGCAACTCACACGACGATACGAACAGCTCGAACTCGCACGTACACCACAAGAGAACGGAAAACGGAAGCTTTTATAACGATATGAGCCAGGCACCCACCGTGGTGACGAACTCCTTCCGCTCGAGCTCGGGCACCTCGCTCGCCTCGAAGCCGAAGCCGCTGCTCTGCTTCTCCTCTCCCATGGCCACACCACCCTCCTTATAGTTCACGCTCTGGATGCATCTGAGGACGACCCACAACGCGACCCAATCATATAGCAAGAGCCCGCACTTAATAACATCGCAGTGTAAGAATGAACACGAGGGTTAAAATTTGTCAAAACGCTAGAAGTCGAACCGGCCGCATGATAAAACCTACCAGTACTGGGATAACAAGCTGTTGATACCCACCCGAACCCATGTTCAACTAAGCCAGTCAACAGCAGCAACAGCAATGGAAGAGTCACCTGCCGCTAGGGGCGTAACGCCTGCCCCGCTGCTGTGCACTCCAAGCTCGTTGACTTGTCACCCACGGCACTCATACTATTTGACCCCATCTTTGTGCGCATGAGAGACATGATTTATCCCGCGAACCAGACACCACCGTGCAACACAGTAATTTTGGGCGGTTATCCGGTGAGGGTAAACTAGGCTGTTGGACACACACGAGGCGGCGGTTTCCTCGAGGCGGGGTTTCTCAAGCTTACGAGGCCGGCCTGTTTCTTAGAGGGAGGAGGGGGGGGGCAATGACCGCTAACCCACACGAGGCGGCGCTTTCCTGGAGGGGGGGACGTGAACGCAAAGACTAGACAGGAAAGTTTTCACCTTCCGCTGGGAGTGTAGTACTTGGCCACGGTGTACTTGAGCGCGTTGTTGTACGGCAGCTCCGCGACGTTCTGCACGAGGCCCTTGCCGTACGTCCGGCCGTTACCCACGCCCACGATCACCCCTGCGTCCAGGTCCTGTCGCGCCGAAAGGGCATGGACGTTGGGAGCGTTTCAGATGGAAGAGGCCCGATCATGTCGTAGGGGCAGGAAAGTTGGCGAGACTTTTAAATGGAAAGCAGTGCTTCAGATGGAAAGTAGGTGTTGCTTCGATGGGGGACTAGTCTCCATGCAACAGGTGTATGTTCGTTGAGGTCAATGAAGAAAGCACCACTGTTTTTCATCACCACGAAAAAAATCGAACACGATAGTGCCACTAGCGACCCGGCATCACGACCACCACCACGACCACCACGTACCTGCACAGTTCCAGAGATGATCTCAGCCAACAACCACGGCAAAAAAAGGACAAAGCCACCAACGACTGGCATCACCAGCACAACTTCCACCATACCTGGACAGCTCCAGAGACGATTTCAGCCGCGCTGGCGGTACCGCCGTTAGTCAGCACCACGAGCGGGGTCGACGCCGGCCTCACGGGGCCCTGTGAACTCCCGTAGGTCACGTCCTGGAAGTTCCGCCCCTTGATGGACACGATCCTGCTGCCATCGGGCACGAAGAGCGCCGACACGTCAACCGCGGCCTCCAGCAAGCCCCCTGTCATCGGCATATCGGTTACGGTTACGGGTTGGCGTTGTTGGCGGTTATTGTTACGGGTCGGCGGTGTTGACAGACATTGCTACGGGTTGGCGTGACGACGGTTACGGTTTGATGTTTTGACGGTTGCAGTGTGGCGTTTCTGATGGGTACGGTCACCGGTTGGCGTTTTGACAGTTCCGGGCACGTTTCAGCGCGTCGACGTGTGCGGTTACGGTTTGGCGTTTCTGACGGTAACGTCTACGGTCTGACGGTAACGTCTACGGTTCAAGCGTTTCTGACGGTTACGGTTACGGTTACAGTTACAGTTCGTCGGTGTCGAATGCGTGGTGGTGTGTGGTGGTGTCGTTTCGCACAAGATTTGACCTCGATTAGCTGCACTCTCGTTCAGGGTTCAACCGACCCTCCGCTTAGGTCAGGTCTAATTGATCCTGTTTGGACTCTGCTTTCGGTTCATGACACCGTTCGGAGTAAGGTAGGCATAGCTCGGAACCGACTTGGGCTAGGTCCGGGTGATGCTGATGCCATGGAGGGTTGAGCCTGGGTTGGCTCAGTCTTGCGCGGTTTGGTCTTCGGGGGCTACTGTGGTGGATACTCTGTGGGGATTTTCGGCTGACGTAGGTGAAAAATCTTTGGCAAAGCGAGCGGAGCACAGTGACGACCATTGTACGGTGCGGTAAACACACACTTGGCCGCCCCCAAAGTGTCCCCATTTGGGCTTCAGTACTAGGAGGGTTAGAACCACTTAAGCAGAAGTAAAACATGCCCTCCCCACATGTAACGAACCGTCGCATACCGGTTGTGATAGGCACGCCTCTTAAACTTCGGCAACGGTAGAGGCCGCAAGCGAAATATCAGCTTCTGCCTCGATATTTTCTTGAGTGGACCAACTCACCTGGGTTCCCCCTCATGTCCAGGATGACACCGCGGAGCCCCCCCTCGGCTGCCGAGTCAAGGTACCGGTACGCCTGCTGCAACTCCTGCGCCGCGCCCATGCTGAAGCCGGAGAGCTGCATGTAGCCCACCGGAGCGTTCTTCACGTCTCCCACAAGGGTGGCCAGCTTAACGTCCCGCAGCTTCACCAGACGCCTCGTGAGCGTGATCTCCTGCTCGGTCTGACCGTTGCTGGTGTCTCTTAAGAAGGAGATGCTCACCTTCGAGTTTGGCTCTCCTCGCAGCTGATCTCGCGCCTGTTTCCAGCAAGCCAACCGTGAGGCATCCCGATGATTGAGGCGTGTGTGTGGCCGGCAGCCGATGCGCAGCAGAACACAAAAATATCGGTCACGAGGCGCGCATACAATCAGAGGTTTACAACCAGAGCCTAGAATTGTACAACACGGACTCGGTACAGTAGGGCGAACAACCTGCTGTCAGTGCTGTCTCGCTCACAACGGCCTCCTCCCGTACCCGCGTGTCCCAAAGGCAGCAGTGAGCGAGGCAGCACTGACAGCAGGTTATCCGCCCTACCGAGCCCGCCATGCATCTTCACAGATGCCGGGGCCAAAACAACACCAGGGAGGTTTTGTGTTTTTCTTGACCATCGGACCATGGAATCTCGTCCTGACCCAGAAAAAACGCGGGTTATGCCCTGCCTTCGTACTACAACATGATACCCCCAGACCATTGGGATGTCTCGGCGTGTTCTTCACAACGAGACACCCCCCACAAACAAAATAAAACAACGCGACACAAACAAGTTCACAGAGGGCATTTTCGTTTTTGGATCTAGAACATTTTTGGCACCTCCTTTTTGACCGTGAAAATAAAAGCAACAGTTTAACACAGCACGCCTTTCGTCTTCTCATTAGCAGCATCTAGCTTGGCACTCTTTCGAACGCGAAGTACTAAAATAAAAATACGTGCATCAAATCACAGGGCAAATTTTCGCTGTCTTGAGCTACAGTAGCTAGCAGGAGCTTCATACTCGACCTTGACACGAGACACGTGCATAAATTAACAACAACACGCGCATGAAACTCGCAAAGCGCATCTTCGTTTCTGGATCTACTTATTTAACGCACGCTTGTCACTTCTAAGTACCTTCTCAACGGTGATGCCTTCCACCGGCTTCCCGTTGATGGCGGTTATCTTATCGCCAGCCCGCATCCCGGCGTCGAAGGCGTACCCCTCGAAGGCCGACACCACCGTGATGCCGTCCTTCCCGGCCTCTCGCTTAGCACCTCGCACGATCGTCCCCCGACCCTTGCCCCCCCCGTCCTTCTGTACCCCGCCCCCCACACTCGTCTGCCCCCCTTTTGGTGGCTCTGCGGCAACCGTGCGGGCGAAAGGAAGGCGGCAATAGCAGCACGCGGGGAGCGAATGGACGGCGTTACGGGCGGTCGCATAGGTGGCAACAGGAGGCGGCGTCGTGGACGGAAGGAGTTCCTGCTGGTGGAGGAGGCATGTGTCGGTTGGAGAAAACGTGTCGTTTCGAGAAAAGCGGCGGGATGGTGCGGGTGGCATGATAGCTCGTCGTTTCTGATGCCACCAGAAGAGCAAGGACGAGAGAAGATGGTGCCGGAAACGTGCGGGCGAACGTACAGACAGGTGCGAGAGCGATCTACGTTCAAAGATCGATTGCTGCACGACCAAAGACGGTGCTAGACCCGATCGACACGTCCAGGGAAAAATTCCTCCTTCGATGAGGCCGTAGATCTTACCAAAACCACCTGTGTTCGGCATTGGCAACCTTTCGGTGGAGCAGTCGAGCTACTGAGGATCGACGGCAAATCTACGCGCTTGCCCGCACTTGTATGGCACTGAGGTGTACGGTCACGCCTGTGCCGAAGCTTTGTGGCTGGTCAAACACACGAAAGGAGAAAGGCGGCAGAGATATAGAACACAATAAAAAAGTAAGGCCGGGCCATGTGTATGCCTGACCCTAACGCAGAGCCTCCTCTATATTTTCAATCAATGCGACAAGGAGAAGGGCACGACAAAAATACAGCACACGCAAAGAAAAAAACAGTCCCGGGCATGGGTATGCATGTACACATTTCTTTTGCCGTCCCTGCATCCCACCCCCCCCGAGAGGACACAAAAAAGACATGGGTCCTTCACCTGCTTCGCCCGTCGTCTGCTGCTGCTCTCCCCTCTGCTTCCCGCCGGATATGACGAGCCCCACCCCCCCGTACCTCCCTGACACGGTCTCCTTCAAGTCAGCCGCCGCTTGATTGTTCTGGATGGGATACAGCATAGCCGAGTGGGCCCAGTCACATAGAGCGCGCCCCGTGGGTCGGGTGTTGCTATTGTTGTTGTTGTTGTTGTTGTCCGCTGAACATAAAACATCCGCGGGTCGGCACAGGGATATGTCCGAATGGACGGGGGCCCGTAAAGCATGGAAGTAAAACCACAATGCCGCAACAAAATTCACACACAAAACACACCTGGTACTCCGTGTAAGGGTCCAGAGTCCTGAGCATCGATCCCACCGCGGTCTCCAGGAGCCGCTCCGGGTTAACCTCCTCCACGTACCCCTAAAATAGTAGTACCCAAGACGGGCCAGGGGGAGAGATAAATGGAGAGATGGAGGGTGAGAGGATATAAGAGAAAGGATGAGTGAGTGAGTGACTTCTTGTGTGAGAGAGATAGAGTTGAGGACTGACAGGGTGTACGCGAGAGTGAGTGAGTAGGTGGGTAAGTGAGCGAGCGGGAGCTAAAAATTGTAAAGAGATGAATATTTAGTGGGTTAACTGAGTGAGTGCGAGAGAGGGGGTGAGTGGGTGGGTGAGTAAGTGAAAGATAGAGTAAGTGAGTGAGTGAGTAGGTGAGTGAGTGAGTGTGAGATTCTGTGGAGAGGAAGAGGGAGACAGTGATTGTGAGAGTGAGATAGAGGGAAAAAGTGAGTGCGTGAGAGGGCGAGCGAGTGAGGGAGTGAGTGTGAGAGTGTGATAGAGATGGAGAGGAGTTTGCGAGAGAGAGGGTGAGGAAGTGAGTGAGTGGGTGAGTGAGTGTCAGAGACTGAGAGAATTACACCATGACGTGTAGAAGCGTTTTTCGTTTCTAGCCGCACTTAGACTGACACCTCTTCCGTGATCAGCCGGTTGGTGCCGCAGATGCCAACAGCAAAGAAGTGCACACACATACACTGCTCTCGGTACGCATAGGATCCTTTGACTAGAAAACGTGTTCGCGTTATTTTTCCGCTTCAAGACCGACGTCGTTCCATTGGTCAGACGGTTACAGCGCAGTCGATGCCAATCAAACACAGAAATACACGTATTGACAAGCACACCTCAGTTGCAGCGTTGGAAGTCGGAAAGTAACCAAACGCACAAAGGAGAGAATAGACACAGCAGCAAGGGGTGGGGGGACGTAATAGGAACCACACCCTGAGGCCACGCAACCGGGGTTCAGCGCTGGCTAGCGGTTCGGTGCTGGCTCGTTTCCATATCAAACCGCATTGGTCGGCACCCACCGGCGGGGGCGTAAAGCAGTTGTTTTGCTACAACATAAATGACTGTGCTAAATAGTACGTAGACGGTTGGAATCCTGGGATAGGCAATACCGTGTTGGTAACTCATGTGGTCATACCCTGGAACAACAGGTACTGCTTTGGTCAATGTTAGTCACGTACGTAAACCATCTGGGTTATGCATCTATCGTATGCATGCGTTTTGCAGAGGGAAACCAAACCACCCAACGGGGAGGTATGATACTATCGTTGGGGGGTCATCTAGGCAGGGTCCTTCGTGGCTCTTCGGGGATGACATACGGTACCATGCCCTTACCGCCCTGCCCATGCCAGAACAATGTTCGTGGGTGCAAAGTTTGCCGAATTATGTATGCTCACTGGCAGACAGATCGACGCCAGCAGGCGCCGCCGACTCTTATCCTTCCGTGTCGAACACTTCGAGATGTTCCTTCGCCAACGGATTGTTTTCCGGCGCGATCTATCGCTACGAAAGGTGGCTTCACATCGCCCCTCAGAACGAACACTAGCCCGCACGCGGAGCTAATGAATAGCGAGGTACGGTAGAGCGCTGAGTGCGCTGAGAGATATTGTCGCAAAATCCTCAGCACTACGCGCTACGTTCGGTGGGGGGGGATTTCCGACCGGGCAATTAAGAGGGAACGGAAATGGTCGTCGGAAAGCTCACAAACCGGACGCTCAGACCAACGCTGAGGACTCGCGACGAATGTCGCGAAAACCGACCAATGGGAGTAGTCTAGAAGCGAGACAGCCGGGGGAATTACGATAGATTGCACCCAAAGGGGTAGGTTTCGTCCACGATGCATCACAGCAGTGGCGGATGTAGGCCGCTTGATTTCGAGAGACCGCCGCATGCACAACTACAGCGTGCGGTCCGCAGCAAAAACCAATGGTTGGCCGTGCGACCCTCAAGGTCCGGTAGCAAAACAAGAGGGAAGAGGCAGGAAGACAACAGAAGATTACTATTCGGGTGGCGCTCCGAGTAAATTGCTTTGAAGTACCAGCATATGTACCTCTATTGCCGGTTTTTCTTATCGGTGCTTCATTCTCCACACGCACTTAGTCATGCCCTCCCTCCCTTCCCTCCACAAAGGGCATGGGAGTTTCGGTCTTAGAGAGTTCTCACCCCTTATAGGATCTCCGCTGAACACTGGATAGTTGGAATGCCCTACAGCAAAAGTCTTGGTATGGAATACTCCATCCGGAGTTTTCCACCCGAAGTATACAAGCATACTACATGCATGTGTATGCATAGCATTTCGACTTTTTTGGTGGTTGTGTTCTTTTTTCTCTGGTGGGACAGCGTTTCTTCTAACACTTTTTTTCTTCTGCATGGCACTCAGAGGACCCGTCCGTACACTACCCGCTTTGCGTGGGTCTCGCGAGACATTGGTGGTGCGCGCACTGGCCACCTGAAGCCGCCGGGACTCGCTCTTTTTTTAGGGGCTGCGAATCCAAACCAAAAAAGCCTTCAGATGTACATGAACAGGAACACTTTCTAGTGGGCGGGGCGGTTTTCACTATTGGTGGTCTGTTTTTTAGTTGCGCGTGCCTTTTCCACCAGGAACGGTCCGCTTATTCTTGTGGAATTTCACGAACACATGCATACGTTGCGTTTGCTGTCCACTACCGACACGGGTATTTAGCGACATCAGAGCATATCCTCACGCGGGTAGTGAGAGTCCAAAAACACAACACCTCTCTCTATGATACCTCTCATGTCGTTAGGAAGAACACCACTACACAGCAGCAACGAAGAGGTTACCCGCCCTCACGGTACGGTTTAATCCGTTTGAACGAAATGTATGTACGTTCGCTTCGTGGCTGGACAGAATCGTGTGTCGTTCGTGTTTGTACTTCGAATACAACAGGTATTTATCGACAGCGGACCATAGAATGACGTAAGCATCCTAAACACGACAGCTCTCATGATACTTGTCACGAGGAAGAAACCCAGGACACAGCAGCAACGAGCTTTCGAGATCACCCGCCGTCACCGGACTGTCCGCGTTTTACCCGAAAACTGTTCTGTTTGAAGGAAATTTGTATATACTCTCGTTCATGTTTGTACTTCGAATACAACAGGTCGTTCTCTTCAAAGGACGTTGGCACGCTCCCAGCATGATAAATGAACATCGCACAGCTCCTCACAGTGGATGCAACGAGTACAGAACCAGCGGCGATCTTCTCTTTTGTGTGCCCCCCGCTCAAGTTCGTCACCACAGAAAACAAGTTGTTCCGTGAGAAGCGTATATCTTGGCCACGTCGCGACGGCCGACAACAAGAACCACCGCGCAACGTAACAATGCCACCAATGTGCCCTTCGTCGGGCACGTTGATGAACGTCTCTTTGATCCGTTGTTGGCGTTTGCGCGAAATCGTCATCTTTTTTTTGCGTGAAAATACGTTGACGACCAGCGATGCGAGGTCGCGCACTCGCACACAACCACCATTTCGCGAAAAAAAAATAGTCGTCAATGGCATCAATGGGCCGCAGCAACACTCGCTCCAACAACATAGCCAGCAAAGCATCGAACGCTGGCGGTAGCTCATCGGCTGCTGAACTGAAGAGACGAAGTCGTCAGAGCCTCCCCTCGCATCTCACGTCGACGGCACGCCGGTGATCAACCTTGTAGCTGGGACAAGGTTGATCACCGGCGTGCCGTTGACGTGAGATCTGAGGGGAGTTTCCGACGACTTCGTCCCTTCAGCAGCCGATGAGCTAGCGCCCGCGTTCGAGGCTCTGCTGGCTGTGTTTTTGGAGCGAGTGCTCTTGCGGCTCATGCCTTCGTGGTAATGGAAATACACGAGAAAATGAAAAAAGAACGAATCGAACAACAGCCTTTTCACGACGACCCAGATAAGGAATTTTCGAACAACAACGACGACGACGACTCCAATAATAATTCCACCCCAGGTCAATGGTCCATTTTACCCGACATCGGTGATGGTGCATGCTTATTGCGCTGTGTTTCGCGACGAATCCACAACACGCCTGACCTCCATCATGTGCTTCGAGCAGATATCATTACCCATGTATCTCAGAGCCTCAACAGCACCATCATCCCAGGATCAGGATTAAAAACATTTTATGACTATTTCAGCGAGGATAAAACAGGACTTGTGCTAGTCGCAGGTTCCGCTCCTACTACTTATTCCAGTGTCCAGGAGTATCTTCACTTCATGTCGCACCCGTATGCATATGCTACAAACATCGAGTTGATTGCAGCGAACAAATTGTACGGAATGGCGTTTCGTATCACCTATCACGGTCAGCCATATCCCAACCCTCCCGATGCAAACGTCTGTGATGTTTCATACTTCCCGACCTCTTTCCACTACGCCAGCCTTCAGCCTTCAGTACACCATCTCTTAGATAACTAAATGTACGTTTCAGACTCTCATAGTGTTTTTTCGACTTGAGTCACCCCCGGGAGTGCATGTACCGACCTCCTGGAAAAGAACATTGTACTTCAAGTACATCATACACGAAACGACGTGTTCGCTGTGTGTGGAGCACATGTTTCGTTCAAGCGCGCAAACATCGAAGTCCCTTGCGGTACTTGAAGAGTAGTAGTGCCTACCGAATGCGAAACGTTTGGTAAGCCGGCAATATTCCAGTTTTGGCACAGAAAAACACGAGGATTGCGATCTACTTTCTGGTTCATCCTTGTAAAACGTAGCCTGGGCCGACGAAAAATGGACATATCGCCACGTCCCGGCATTGTAGGGATGCGAGGTCAATGGTCTAACGACTAATGACATGCGTCTATACGACTACACCCCGTCAAAAAGACTCACCTGGTCGATATCCACGAGCACATTCTCGAACAGCGTCAGGCTCTTCCTCAAGCCCGGCGACCCCAAGTCCGAGTACGGGACCGTCAGCAGCCCCACGGCCAGCGCGAGGCCGCTCAGCAGCCCCCCCGCGTAGATGCCCACCCCCTTCCAAGGCACCATCACGTTGGCCACCTTGCCTCCACCGAGCACCAAGGTAACGTTCTGCGGACTGATCTCCGAGAACCGTTCCTGGAATGCCGCGGCCCCCGCCGAGAAGCTCTCGCCCACGGCCGCCAGCGTCTGCATCGGCCCGAATCCCTGCTGCCCCCCGTCCTCTCCGGTCGCGTCCTCCGCTTGGCCATCCTTCCCCTTCGCGGTGGTACCAGATTCCGCTTTCGTGCTCTTGCCGCTGCCGCCACTAGATGTCCCCCCGCCGTCACCTAACCTTCCTAGCATCGAGAAGAGGCTCGAGGACCCCGGCCCACCCTGCAGAGGAGGCGTCGCCTTCCCCGGCCCCCTCGAACTGCTACTTGGGCTACTACTACTACTGCTACCACCGCTCTTTCGTTTTGCCTTGTCGCCCCCCGCCCCCCCCGACTTGCCCCCCCCTCCAGATTCTCCGCCGCCTCCTTTGTCTGCATCGCCCAAGCTGTCCCCGGCTCCGAGCCCGTCAAACCACCCCTGCAGGACGGTTAACGGAATGTGGACCTGCCGGGAGTTCCCATCACCGAGGCCATTGTTGCCGCCCCCGCATCGGCCGCCGCCCAGGATAGGCGGCGCCTGCCCCGGGCGTGCGCGTCTGAAGGCGGAGGGCGGGGGGTGAGTTGCCCGCGACGCCGCCACCGCAGCCACCGCAGCCACTGCTGAAGGGCGTACTTGGACTCGTGGTCTTCTTTGCCTGGTCGTTCGTTGTTCCGTCGAGAGTGAGCGTCGGTGGCCGAGAGAGCGCGGGGGTCAACGGACAGAGAGCCGGGGGTGATACCGGGAGATAGACGCGGAGGAACGAGGAGCGTAAAGCATGTGCCCTGAAGGCAAGTCGTCATGTGGAATGCAACCCCCATCTTTGTTCGTACTAGATAGCGCTCGGTGTTGCACGCCAATCACCGAGTGGCACAAGATATGGTGCAAGATGGGATGCTACAGTCTCCTCCGCAAGGATTTCCATGGCTACACCTCCATGGCTGGATCTTGCCAAAGAGTCCCAGGCTGAGCCCTGGGCATGCGGGGGAATGTGTGTCTCCCAAGAGTACAGTTCCATGCCAACTCATGTTGGCACTCCGCACAAAGAGACTGCGAAGTACATTGCAGCAGTCGGGGAATCTTGATGCTTTTTTAGCTGGCAGTTCCGCCGCAAAGTGTTGTTGTTCGTCTTGAGACTTTGAACTTTTGTGTAATACATAGCCACCCCGCTCGAACAAGGTTCGCCAATAAATATTAAAAAGGGCATGCTTACAGGCACGCAACAAGCAATCCACTTACACGCCAACATCGCAATAATCCCTTTACATGTCAACTGCTGTGGGCTCAACACGGCAATGTACATAAGCTTCCCTTCACTGCTGTAGAAAAGAAGATGATGTGCTTACATACGCATCCATGTACCACATACAATCCTCAGTTCAGATTAAACTAGGCTGTGCCCGTGGAGGCAACGACTGTACCCCGAGATCTTCCCGGGAAAAACGCTGCGGCATAACAGCAGTTAGTGCCATCGGTCCTGTCAGTGCGAAGATACCGTAAGGTTGCGAGTCAGCGCACCAAGGTGCGATCGATTTTCAAAGCGTGATTTCTCCACAACCAGCCGCAACCAGGGGGTGCGAGTGCTACCTGATACTTCTTCGGAAAGCTCTCAATGAGATATTTTCAAAACCGCCCTCTTCGACAGTGGTAACCTCCTGGTTGTGGAGAAATGACGCTTCGAAAATCGATCGCACCGCTGTGCGCTGACTCGCAACCTTACGGGTACCCGTACAAGAGGAAAGTCCCCAAGCAACAGGTCTCGACGTCAACACATGAGTACAACGCGCACCAGGGTGCTGGCGTTTGCTTGGATTTTAAAAATGCACGAAAGTCGACAAACGCGCATGGCGCGCCCCGGCTGAGCTCTAACAAGCAGGAAGCGCACCCCAGTATCCCGGGGAAGGGTACGAAGGTGAACATGACGATATCTAACCTTCAACCGGTGCCATCGCCCTTGTAAGTGGAGATCCCAACTTCCACAGTGGGCGAAGAGAAGCAAGCAACCGCCCGACAACAACGGCGGGGACCAACAACGACGAGAGACTCGCGACTCGTGGCGACTACTACTCTGCTGTCGCCAACAGGCTGCTCACCATAAGGGTAGAGCCATCGTAAAACCGAGCGTCAACGCTGTTGGGTAGGACCTTGAGCATCATGGTATGCCGATCTATCGTCTACAACGCATGCCCTGACTAGGAGTTACAGCAGTCATGAGTCAACAACAGCAGCAACACTGACCCAGTCGGGAAAATTACAGGAAGAGATGTGCATACACTCATGATGTCCTGCTGCTTGGTCTTCTCGCTTACCCTGGAGAGCGGCCAGAAAAAGCTGCCACGCGCGCCTGCAGAAGGAGGAGAACCAGGGCGCGTCTTGCGCAGGATGCCTTCATGCCCCCTCTCCAGGGAAGGAAAACGGTGATATGGTCGCAGGCAGTGGAAGCGACTGCGATGACGTAACTTGCGTCAACACAGCAGTGAATCCGGGAACGCCTGAGTCAACCTTGACAACAGCCTCCGCGTCACGACTAGACTTCCGCCGTAACAGTTGGGACCTGCACCCGGCACAGGCCTCTAGTCTTGCTCTGACGCTTTTCTACAGTGTTTGCCTACAACGACATGACCAGCCCTTTGCCTTGTTTGCCGAGGGTGCCCAGGATGCAAGGTGCAGCGGGGGAATCCAAGGATGGATTCGCGGTGGGGGACAACGGGGTACAATCTGCGGGGGCCCTCCATCGTCGGCTGTCCGGAAACACCTCCACTCCCCAGCAACAAGCTCTCATCATCATGGCAGAGGACCTGCCGTTCGCTTCGGCCTCGGCAGAGGTGGAACCCATTGGTGGATTACTCCAGCAGCCCGGCCTCAGCTTGATTCGTGGGAGAGGGGCGCGGGACGACGTGGACGCTCGTCGCCATGGAGGAAAACAGAGCGCTGTCGTTCAGGTGGCCAAGCAATAGTCAACTCGCGTTCAATGAAGGAAGTGCAACATCAACTGCATCAACCAGCCTCTCCGTCATCAGTAGCTCGGCTGCAACCGGCCGACAAACTTGAATCACTGGAGTTGGTTGTGAATAGTGTGTCTAACGATGACACGCTTTGACCGCATCTGCGGGCGTACGAAGCATGCTGTTTGAGAGAGGTATCCGAGTGGAATAGTAGTGTCTCCGCCGACAAGTCGCTCCCTTGGTACAGTTCAAGATTGTAGTGGCAATGGGATGGTGCCTCATGTCTGGGTTCGAACCGAAGCTTCAACGAAGGTGCGTGTGTGGGCTAAGGTATCGGAGCAGGAGTCCCTCCCAAATGTCGGCTTCGTCCCGCTTGTCTATAGGCTTGGAGGTTGAAGGCATGGGAGGTATCACGCCGTTCTGCTGTAAGCCTTACACTCACTTTCACGTGTACAGCAGACTGCCAACACCCAAGTCACAGCGGCAACGGTTTGCTTTATGCCACCTTCCTGAGTATCGGCAAGTCACAGCGGCAACGGTTTGCTTTGTGCCACCTTCCTGAGTATCGACAAGTCACAGCGGCAACGGTTTGCTTTGTGCCACCTTCCTGAGTATCGGCAAGTCACAGCGGCAACGGTTTGCTTTATGCCACCTTCCTGAGTATCGGCAAGTCACTTCGGCAACGGTTTGCTTTGTGCCACCTTACTGAGTATCGGCAGCCAGCCGCGGCAGAGGTAACAATCACCGCCACGCAATGAAACGAAACCTAGACCGGATGCGGTGTTGTGGTGTGTTCATGCGCAAGGATCGAGAAGCGTGTGTGGAGGAAGGCGTGTGTTTGGCGATTCCCAATCTACAGTAGGCATGGTTTTCAACAGCAGTAGACTATATTTTGAACACGCGCGAGACGAAAAGCGGCGTGTTTTGTTCACCTAGTGGGACACTCCGACGTACCTTGTCGCCGGGTAGGGGGGGGGTGCTGCTGTTTCCCAGCTACTGTACCAAAGGAGAGAGAGAGAGAGCCGCAGGTACACAGTAGATGCCGAGTGTTGGAAGGAAGTAGCACCCCGAGCCTAAACCTCCGTCCCCCGTCGTACCCGACTCGCCCATGTTCTTCATCCTCTCTCTCTCGCGCGCGCGCGCCACAGGCGCATCGTTGCGCGCAGGGGGCCGAGGATGCGTGCAGAAAGGGGGACCATGCGGAGGCTACCGAGCTGCATCTTGCCGCCGCGAGAGACTTTCTCAGGGCGGCCGAACAGGCGAGAACGGACGGGTACCACTCCTTGTACATAAAGTGATTAATTGCGCCGCATGCCGCATGGGCTTTTTCACCGCAGTGGGTAGTGTTCCTTTGTAGGCGCTTGTTTTCGCAAGTTGACATCTCTCTCGTATCTAGCGATTCGATTGTCTTGCACGTTTTCTCGAGTTGGTGTTTGTACAGAGGTCGAGACGAGATGTGTATCATAGCTCTTGGAATGGGCGTTCCAAGGACGCAACAAGCCAACACGCAATCAATCCATTACGCCGTAGCCCTTCTCTGACAAAGTCACAAGCTGGTTCGGCCGCACCCAAAGAAGTACTACTGGAATGATCAGAAACGATTCCTCTGTTGCACGTTTGCCTGAGGGTAGCACACAGCAGCAAACTGTTTGTGGGCACATCCACCCCCCATGCAAACCATTGATCGAAACGTGAAACTACGGACAACGCTACGCACGTTCTCGGCATGCTGGGTATCATTCACACATCCCCACGTGCTTCCGGGCGTCGATTTGAGTCGGATGTTGCAAGAGTAGGCATCATCCACCCCCCCCTTTTCACGTGCTATGTACAATACTGGGCGTCGATTGAGTGGTGTGTTACAATGGCACGGCATCAGCATCATCCAACCCCTCTACGCGCGTGGTTTCGGGCGTCGATTGATTTCAGGTGTTTCAAGAGCATACATCATCCACCCCCTGCTTCCGGGCGTCGACTTGTTTGAGGTATTTGAAGAGCAGGCATCTCTCAGCCCCCTTGTTTATCAATTGGTTGGTGCGTGTTTTCCTGCAGGTTCAAGAGCATGGCGTGCTGGCCTCCTCGCTGCTGCTGCTGGCAGACTCACACGCCGCTCGGGCAGAGAAGGGGGCTATACGATTACGGTAAGCGAGACCCCAACCAGAACCAGAACCGAGGGAATTCGTGTTCTGATCCTGAATTGGAGCGGCACAATGTGATCTTGTCACCGCTATTGTCAATAGTTGGGCGGAAAATACACCAACATGGAGATGCATATCCCCATCCCCTCAATATCGTCCTGTTTGCCTCGACCAGCTATTACGGCAACACCATCACGGGTACTCGAAGGATGGTTTTAATCCTACTCCCCCCCATGGTTTGAATCAAATGTTACGCATACAGTACCTGCGAGTGAACAAGCTCTCGTGCACTACTCCTTGGCACCGTCGTCGTTTTGCACGCACACGCGGGTTCTGATTGGTCGAACGATTTGTTGGCAGGCTCTCCGGCGAAGGTCGCGGTTCCCTCAACAACTCCTTGTCCTCTTCGAGAGATCTAACCCCAGCGGAAGCCTATCGGGCAGCGGCAGCCGGCGTCAAGGCTACGGGCAAGGGGGACGGCAGACGGGAAAACGTGGTGGGTCGGGGCGACGGGCGGAGTAGCCACTCGGTCGGGCCTGATATGGACGATAGCATCATGAGGGGCACCGTGGCGAACGGCAACGCCGTGGAGGCGAAGGGGGGGGGGTGCGACGCGGCGGCGGAGCTGGCCCAGAAATTTAGGTGTGCAATTTCTGTGTTGTTGTTGCTGTTGCTGCTGTTTGGATGGTGGAGAGATGTATCTCGCTCTCTCGCCAAAGAGCCGGGCGTAGTACAGCATTCAATGTTTTCCCGTCCGTCACGCGCTGGTGCTGCTATGGTGGAGACAGAGTACTTTCGTAGTGTTCTGTACGGATTATAGATAATGATGCCTTCCCGGGACTGTTGGTGGTGGTTTTCATACACAAGCGTCCGCACGTCGATACCCAACTGCTGTGTAAGCTAGGTTTGGCAGCTGGGAAAATGGAAAGGTCAGCGTGTTTTCTAGATGGATGCAGTCCTGAGCAGCAACAATCTTGCTCCTACACCTGTAGATCCTTTACTCAAGTGCACCACCTCAGGATATAAGCCGGTGCAGACGTGGTGGCCTGGTCTGATACAATTGAGCTGGACGCGGCATGACTCACCTGTTCCAACGTACCCTCACCCCTCACCCTATCTGCCAAGGCCGCAACGGGATGACTTGCTAGAGCTGGAGCGCCAGCTCGCCAAGCTCGGGCTCGAGAGCAAGATGGGGGGCCCCGGGGGGCGAGCCCGCCAGCGACTCTCCAGCGGGGGGGCTCCCCACCTGTCTTCCGCCCTGGGGGACTCGTTCTTCTTCCTCAACAAGTCGGTCATCTTCGGTGGCGGTGGCGCCGGCGGGAACGGCCCCGCCAACGCGTACGGTAACGGTAACGGCCCCGCCGCCGGGGTGTTGGGGTCGCCCGGGACGAGGTTGGGTGTCACGAACCCCCCCGGCGGCGGCGGCGGCGGCTGGAGATCAACCTCTGCTCCCCGCCGTTTCAACGAGAGCGATACTTCGCCGGAAGGGGCCCCGCAGATTCCCTCTGGCCGCGGAAGCGACAACGTCGGCGACGGTACCCGAGCGGACGGGAGAGTTGCAGGGGGAGGAGAAACGCCACGTGTAGGAAACACCGTTGGTCGTGGTGCCGACACTGCAAGGAGGGTGCAAGGTCCGGGTAGCGGAGCTGATCGACCTTCGGCTGGAGCCGGCGGGGTGTGGGCTGGCGAGTCGGCGGGAGAGGGGGGCGGGGGCGAGGGCCGACCGGCGTTGTTGCTGTCTTCGGCGGAGGAGGAAGCGAGGCGAGTGCGGGAGGAGGAGGCGCAGCAGGGCGAGATCATGCGGCTGCTGACGTGCCTCAAGACGCTGGGGGACGAGAACGTGTCCCTGATGAAGGAGTGCGAAGACCGAGATAAGGCGAGTGCATCCACGGCTGTTCGGAAATATGGGGACGACTCGGATGCAAAGTGTGAATATTAAGATGGCCCCTATACTGCCGATTATGAGTGGCATCGACCTAATGGATTCGATAAAAGCACCGTGACCACAAGCTGGGGGCGCAGCAATATCTCGAACACATTGGGCCGTTTCGATCAAGTGGTGGTCGCAGTCGTTAGTCGCTGTCGCGGTTCTGCACGGTCGAGGGATCGCTGCGGCTTTTTCTGTTTGGGGTGGTCCGGTCCGGTGTGGCAGGTTTCTTTTCCCCTTTTGGTGTGTCTGTGTGGTATGTGTGTGTCTTTTTTTTTTAGCATCGACCGCGTTAACGGGCGGACTAGTGAAAATATGCCAATCTTAGTGCGACTGAAACCCTAACATGTTTTTAAAGCCCATGATGTGTCCGTGTCCGAGTGGTGTGTGTGTGTGTATGCGTGTGTATTTTTTAGTTGACATCGACCGTGCTCACCAGCCGGGCCAATGGAAAGGCAGCAGTCTTGTACAGCGGGAACAAAATCGCGAACACGCTGTCTAGTCATGTTTTAGGTTTGTGTCTTCTTTCCTTGTACGGGTACATGGTGTGGTTTCACGCCTCGGGTTGTTGTGTTTTCTGTCATTCGCTGTGCTCCCAAGCGACGGCGTTCCTGCACACTCATGCCGTGTGTGCGCGCTCGCTGCTGCTGTTGCTGGCGCTTGTGCTTCTCCTTCGGCTGCTTCTGCTGCTGCTGGTGTTGAATTTCAAAGTGCAGACTACTCATGCGTTTGCGACCAACCTGTGACACTTCCCTCAACCTAGCTGGTCCACCCGCGGTGGTCGCCATCTGTAACCGCAAACGCGGTAAATTTAAGGAGAACAACCAAGACGACGCACCCTGACGACGAGAACGCTTGTTCGGCGGGTGATTTTGATGGTGCTTGCATCTCACGTGCCGCGCGACTCCGTCCTGTGTGTTGTCTTTCTTCGCTTGTTGCCGCGCAGGTTCGGCAGGAGAGTGAAGCCATACGCGAGGAGATGAAGAGGTTCCAGCTCAAGTACCACGAAAGGTGCGGGTGTGACGGCTGAGAGTCTGTACAATGCGAAGACTGTTTGGCCAGCTATTTGCCCACCAACAAACTTTTGAAGGGCGACGCGATAGGCGCTACATGCATTGTAAGGCCAGCGAAGTCACCGTTGAACCGTTGCTGTTCTGCTCTCAAGGTTTAGCGCAGATGTTCGATCGAAGGTCAGACGATTTTTTGTGGAAAGCTTGTGGATGAGAAGCAATGGCATTCGCACAGGCCCCGTAGACCCGAAAGCATGGCGCCTGCGGTCAAGCTAGGGTTGGCGTAGTTTCATTGGCCAGCCAGGCAATGTTAACGGCACAAGACACCCCCTCGCTCACCCAGATGATGGTGTCCATTTGGTGGCCGATTTTCGCGGTCGATGCTACAGTAGTGACAACGACACGTGCTCGTAAACAACCTTTCAGTTGGGGTCCCCACCAATAGGTCGGAAAGCACCAGCAACTGGAAAGGGGGGGGTCCGCACTTCTACGGATCGCGGCGCCCCCGCCAGGCATCAAAGCCTTTGTCAGACGCAAAACAAATTGCACACCTCAGCGCTGAACGTTGCCGTGTGAGCGAACCTGAAATTTTTGGCCCTCTACGCCAATCACATCGTTTGAAAATCATGTGCAAGTGTGCACCTACTCTACGCTCTCGCACGTGAGGAATCTGACGCCATCGCCGAATGTCCGTCTTGCGGACGTGCAGTTGACAGCTCGCTCGAAATTTGGATTAACGATCCCCAAATATAACGCCACTCGTGCTTTCTTCAGGTTCACCCTGCTGAAGAAGACTCTTGACGAGGTGATGAGGTCTTACCCTCAGCTAGCGGCGCCAGGCACGGCTTCGGCGACGGGCGGAGCGAGCACCTCAGACCCCGCGAAGACTACAGAGGAGGTAAGCACCCGCACCAACAAAGAAGAACCCGCACCACGGTTGTGCTTGCCGCATCGGGGCTCCTGTTGCTGGTAGAATTGACCTCAAGGGAGATGGGGTGCTGGTTCTCTTAGCCGCCATGGGTGATGGGGTGCAAGTTCCTTTATTGCAGCTGTATCATACATCTTGAGACTGTGTTCGCCTGCCTGATATTTCTGCTGCCATGGTACTACACTCGAGCGCTCACACAAATCTCATACAAGTAAAAACTATTTCACAAGCTGGGAGATGCTCCGGTGCTAGCTGGGAGCTTTTCCTTCACAGCTCGCGACTTGCCCTACCGTACACCGTAAGAACTGCGAGCGATCGCATTTCCCCTTAGACGGACTCTCAAAGCTCGCTCCGTTGTTCCACAACCGAGAGGCTGCCATTGCCGAAGGGATCTGCGCTGGAGACATCTCGTCGAGAGTTTTCCTTTCACGTGTCTGCAGGTTGTCGTGCCTCTTGATAGTAGCGCAGTGTAGCTATTGAAAACTAGTCTACAGGGTGTCTGTTTTCGCTCGCAAATGTAGAGAAGCACGCCGATTGGAAGCAGGCCGGTTTTTGACGACTAGACAAAGGCCGGTGGAATGGTCGGTGTGATTTCCACATCATTGGGAGGGGTTTATCGCGAATGCTGCTACGGTGGTCTTGTGTGCGAAACACGCCGCGTTTTCTTTCGGTGATATGGTTTTTGTGGTTACACCTGTTGCCATCTCAATCACCCCATTCGCCGCTCCTTGTGTTTTTCTGCCCCCCTATCTACCCCGCCCCCTCCCTCACACGCACGCGGCTGTTGTTTATCGCGGAACCGACCGGCCATCATCATCGCAACCGAGCAGGTACAGCGGTTGACGCAGACCAACCGCAAGCTCACCGAGCAGGTTAAGAAGTACGAGAACTACTACAAGGAGCTCTGCCTCAAGGCGGAGAGCAAGCGGAAGGAGCAGCTGTCCCAGGCGAAGGCCGCGCGGCAGCAGCAGCTGGCCCACCACCCGTCGTTTGGTCAGCAGCAGCAACAGCAGCAGCAGCAACAGCAGCAGCAACAACAAGCGCCTCAGCAGCAGCAGCAGCGGGTCCAGAGAAGGCTGTCTCCTGCTCCCGCTGTTCCGCGCCGAGGACAGCAGCAGCAGCAGCAGCAGCAGCAGCACCAGCACCAGCAACAACCGTCACCGCACCAGCAGCAGCAGCAGCAGCAACAGCAGCAACAGCAGCAGCAGGCTTTACCGCACTCTGCACGACGGTCGTCTTCCGCCCCATCGATGCAGCAGCAGCAACAACAAGATCCTACCGCTCACCCCCAACAGCACTACCCCGCATTTTCCCAGCAGCACTTCAGACAAAGCCAGCAGCAGCAGCAACAACAACAACAACCAGGAGAGCAGTTGAGGCACATCGGCTCTCAGGGGGTTCCGGGATACCGCGGGGGGGGGTCTACTCAGGCCGCGGTCATTGCGAGGGGCAGAGCGGCAAGGGGAGGAAGGCCTGCCACTGTGGCGGTACAGCAGCAGCAGCAGCAGCCGCCGGTGAGAGGCGTTGCGGTGAACACTTCGGCCGGCCTAGCTGAAGAGTCGGAGGTATGATCCACCGGGGGGGCACGCGCAAGGAGGAAGACTACTGTGGTCCTCGGAGGGAGGAAGTCTTGACCTCCTCCACTCCGCCACCACTCTAGAGAACCGAAGGATAGAGAGAACTTGTGGTGTGGCTACGCATTGGGGAAGGCCAAGAACCAGTTGTTTATAGGCATACGATGCCAATGGTGAACGTTGACTCGGCATGTTGGGTGGTTCGCGAACATCACGCGTCCGAATGAGTCCCTTTCCGGATTCAAATGTTCGGACGTCGATATCCACCAAGGGTCTTTCTCGCCTCTCTTAGGTTGTATGGTTCGCAGAGGCAACCGTGAGTTGGATGGTGCCGTCGTGTGGGCTTGTAAATACCATATGGTAGATTATTTGGCGGTATGCACAAGGGCCGCGTTATTGGTGTACAAAAAAACATAGTTTTGGTTTTGCCGTCAGATTGTTTGATGACCCGCTTGCTTGTGATACAGCGCCCCCCTTCCAGTACGTTGGGAAATTGAATCTGCTTGGCCGCGTTATTTCTACGGAGAATGACTTTACTGGTAGGGGTTGTACAAAATGAAACCATGTTAGGACATGGGCACGCTGGGCATGTCGGAACGCCTTTACCGATATCGAAATTTACATAGCATCAAAGAAGGGCGGCATTGTGATCACCCGGAACGTTCCTAGCCGATTTTTTTTAGGTCAGCGACGCCTGCAGAACACTGCGATGTTTTTCGGGGGGGAGGGGGTGGAGTTGAAGTCCGCCTATGGCACAAGTAACTGGTGAGAAGTTTGTGTTTTCCCTGAAATTTGGCGACTCTGCCACGGCGGGTGAAGAGTGATAAGATTGTTTTATCACATGCGATTTCCGTGGTCTCATTTCGGGCTATAAAGAGTTGGGGGTCCACCCTCCTCCAGTGCATGCATACACAGATTGTGTGCGAGCGTTGTGGGGTGTCGCGAACTCTTACAGACGCCGTTAACATTCGGACAACGCAATATGAACGCTTGGCACAAACATTGATTGGTTCGTCGTGAGGCTACTTCTTCTTGAGGTTTAGAACACCTCTCGTTCTTCATGGAACACCCGGCATCACTGCTGTACAGCACGTACCGTGCACTGCTTCCTCTGCTGTTCCTACCGAGCTATTGCTAATCAACACCCACAAAACACGTTTCCTACCCACCTCACGGCGTACAGCAGCCTGCAGCCTAAAGTTGTCTTGTTGACTGGGAAAGGTCACCACAGAGTACGATGTCGAGAGTCTACAGTGAAAAGGGCACTGAACCTTTGGTAGGTCGTAATCTGGTCGCGACAGCAGTACGTACTACTCTTCATTGCACGGAACACTTGGAGATAGTAAGTCGCAAGGGAGGATGGAATGTCAGCTGTTAATCCACTACTAACTGTATGTGTTTTGGGTCGTGGGTTTTCACGTCCCTGATTGCTCATCACACCGGAGGAAAAAAACGAATAGTTCTTCTCCTCACCTATCCGTGCGGTGCGAAGGGCTTCACAAGCCGTGCCTCATGTTGTGTCCCTCACGACTGTGACCTGTGATTTCCCGAAACTATTTCTTTTTCAAGGGTCTCGACAAACGGGGGCCTGAGATTAAAACAGTAAGGTTTTGCACGTGGGTTCGGCTGCGTTACGCCGACAACAACTACACTACCGCAGAACCGCAGTGGTACGAGGTTGTACCAATTGCATCATCGGGGCGATATCGTTCAGCAGTACAAGTCTCAACCAAGCACGTGCGAACAACGGGGTGTTTGTGTGAAAGAGCACCACACACATGAGTTGACGAGTCGTTAGTGTTGAATACGAGTCTTGTCCCCGGTCGAATCACGTCAGAGTTTAGATTTGATTGGGTCCAGTCGTGTCGGCTGAACTGCTGAACCAACACCACACACAGCAGTCGTACGTTGCTGTCGGCTGACGTTACAAGGGCACGCGAAACTGCAACCTGCCCAACCGCTCGGGTTGACCTTGAAGTACAGCATCGCGCGCCGTCAAATGGACGAACTTTAGTGTAGATAGAACAGGCGCACATATCACCCTCTTGATCAAAACAAGGATGACAGTCAAGCTGCCAAGCTTCAAGCTCTAAGCTCCACCACAACGGAACGAGAAGCGGAGAGTTGTGCGACGGATGGTTCCTCCGCACGTCACGGTTCACATCGTAGATTTCGTAGAATACAGTCGGGGAGGTTTTATTCCCAAGAAGTTTGGAAGGAAACCGCGCGAACACGCGGCTCCCCATCTAGACAACCCCCACCTTGTGACACACTTTCTCCTTCTCCTCCTTTTGCTTTCTTCCGTTCTTCCACTGGATCGCACACGACTTCCACCTTCATTGTGGTGAGTGCGTTTAGATGTTTAGATACTGATTGGGCAACATGCGGTGTCCTGAGTAAAAAACTGCGGTGGAGCATTCATTGCTCGCATTTTCGCCAGGCAACCTCGGGTTTGCGCATGTTTCGAGCCTCGTGAGGTTATAGCGCTGGTACGACCCCGTTATATGTATCACGAAAAGCCGGTACAATAAAGCGCTTAACCACCAAGTCGACGTAGACTGCACCGCAACCAACACGACACGTGCTACCGCGCTTTTCTTCCGCTGCTGGGTCATGGGAGCTCGACGTCCGCTCTACAGTAGACTACTGTAGACCACCCCCCCGAAGTCAACCTGCTCGTTGCTTCTTATATGTAGTCAGTCATAACATATTCCACCGACCGTCATGCATGCGCCTACTTCTCGCTCGAATGACTCCTGTGGTGGCAACTAATGCTGTACGAATCACAGCGTCGTCTACAGTAGTATACTAGCGCACCGTGGGTTACACCTGTTCGCACGTCGGAGTGCTACTCCTGTGTTTCGGTAGAACGCCCACCTTGTTTGTTGGTGGACTGTTTTCTTTTGTATTCTCAAGGTATGCATGCCATATGGTCTGAACCTGGTCGGTGGAAATCCCCCAACTGTTTATATTGTACTCTAATGGCATACAGTCTATGCCCTATAGTCTAGTCTTAACCTGGTCGGTGGGACTCCCTATGGCACGCGCCGACTTCGTACCTACAGCAGTGTAGGGTCTTCCTGGATAACTTCTCAGGTTCGTCTTGCCTGAACTCCACGTAAATATCGTCACAAACGTCGCTCCAGACAATCCCCAGAGGGAGTGCACGGCAGTCAGTCACGAGAGACCGTAAAGTGACACGTGCCATGGACAGTCGACTGCTACAAGTCTGTACTGTCGGTGGTGCTTGCATAATTTATTTTTTTCTAAACCCGCCTTCCAAGGGAGGGCGTTGCGCTATACTCTCTTTCGTTCTTGGGGCGTTGATACCTCAACACAAGGAAATCCGTTCATCCGTGGTCACAACCCAATCAACAACGACGTACGTACAAGGTGAAGCAGATACGCGCTTTGAGAACATCCGGCCATTTACGAGTAAAATTTCGAAGTATCAATCCAGAAGGACAAGCGGCCTGTCCGCCAACTCTAGACACACGAGCCGGCCAGACTCGTTCCGCATGATGGGAAACAATGGGAACAAGGGGAACCTTCTATGTTTTCGATGAGAGAGTGGCGCGTAAGGGTCGCTACTACTCTCAGTGTCGTTTTCAATGCTTGGCCCATGTGAGAAACAAACCGCGTGCGCACAAACAGACACCGTTGTTTTTTCGGCATTTGTTCTCCAGCTAAAACCGCACCGCTTGTTGTGACGGGAAAATATTTTTGGTGTCGACGACCTGCCATGAAATAAGACATTTCGACCCATGCCTACATTGTGGCACCCTCTTCAACCACGAGCTCGTCATGTGTGTTGGACCCTTGCATGTGCTCTCTCAGGAGAGCTTCGTACAAACCGCTTGCGCACAAACAGACACCCTTGTTTTTTTTGGCGTTTGTTTGTTCTCCACCTAAAGCCGCACCACTTGTTGTGAGAGGAAAATATTCTTTGTGTCGACGACCTGCCATGAAATCAGACATTTCGACCCTTTCGGCATGCCTGCATTGTGGTACCCTCTAAAACCACGAGCTCGTCCTGTGCGTTGGACCCTTGCATGTGATCTCTTAGGAGAGCTTCGTACTTGTGCCTAAGAACCCTCGATGTCTGACCGAGACTCTGTCCTTTTGTTGCCAAATGTTCGCCATTTTGGCACACTTGACAGCTCGCGAGATTCTCGACACATTGTTTCCACATGGTGTTCACTGTTGCACAAGACTACCTCCTTTTGCGTCCTGCACCCATGTACGCACTCGCTTTTGACTGCCCCTTCCATGTTGCCTGGCCATTAAATCCTGGAGTTGTAGAGACCCCTACTGCTCATCTGTACCATTGATGCCCGACCCTGAATTGAGCTTATCGGAGCATACATTTCAACCATGCTTCCGTCCCACAACAAAGAACTACAGTCAAACTCTCCAATCCTCCCTCGCGCTGATTTCCTGTCCCCCCTCCTTGTCTACTTGCTTGCTTGTCTGGTTCCCCAAAGAAACGCAGAACCGTTGTACGAGCAGCCCCCATTGCTGCTACAGCGATCTCATGCGTGGCTCGGGCTGCCTGCTATTTTTCGGAGCCGCGGTGCTGGTCTCTGTCGGCGCCAGCGATCATGATTCCCTCCAAGATGATAACGGCCGAAAGTTGGCCGAGCTGTCACATCCCCTTTCGGCCGGCATTCGCGGGTCCCACGCCGACGACCTCCCCCGCAAGCGATCGTGGCGGAGAGAGTTGACCAACAACGGCCATGGCGGCAAGAGCGGGCACAAGAGATCCAGCGACAGCGGCAGCAGCGGCGAAGGAGAAGATGGCGGTGGGCGTCACCACCGTGGTGGCGGTAGAGGAAGTGGTGGGGCTGGCTTCCTCTGCGAGAACGGTATCCTGGAAGACGGATACTGCTGCTCGGTGAGACTTTTAAAATAAAAACTAGTCATGACGGTACTGAAAAAAACTTACACGAGCCGAATTGGGTCCACCACATGGGTGCACGTTTGAGCAGGGAAAACGTGTCGAAATGCCTTTTCTCCACGACTGACAGCTTTGTGTACTAATGAGGCGTCGGCATTGTGTCACCCTTCTCCCAAGAAAAAACGTAGGATCTTTCTTATTATCGTCACCGCCTTTGAACATTAACCAATCTGACCGACAGAAAATGTGCGGCGAGGGCGGGTGCGGTGGTACCGGTTGCGGTTCGAGGAACGACGTGACGACGGCGGACGACTGTTGCTTCTCCCACATCACCGAACCCTGCTCCGTCAAAGGCTGTGCCCCATGCATGATGGATGGTACGTGTTTCTTCAAATATTGTTTCGCATGTAAACAGGAACCTAGCCCGTTGCCTTGAAAACTACTGCTTCTAAAAACGGTTTTCGTGGAAACTGATTCTAAAATATCAGCCAGCCCCAACATGGATCAGAAAAAATGACTAATTCCTCGTGACGTGAGTGGCTACGCGGACGCATGCATACGTACCTCCTTCAGATGGGACGACCACCTTTACCGTTTGGTTCTCCACATACTCGCGAGTGCGTCCACCACCCACGTAGAGTAGTTAACATTATCGACGCCAACACGCTGGCGGAAACGAACCTGATTCCTGGGGCGATCATTTGGTGCGTTGCCCATAGACACTCATATTGTCGGGCACCGCACATCTACGTTTTGCGTATCTACTAATCCGATCTACTGGAACTTGTTGGGTCACCTTTATTGTGTGTTCAGAGCTAACCATAGGCCGAAGGGCATTGGTTATGAATAAGCGATGCCGTTTTATGACTCACTTCGCATAGCAGGAACGTTTTGGTTACCTAGCCGGTCTGAGAATCATCAGCTTAATTGTTCCCCTATTCTTCTTCTGTCGTCGTTCCCTCGTCAACGCGATGCCGTATCGTACCTACCCTCCCCAACCCAGAGGATGACCTAGAGACCGACCCAGAGAGCGAACCAGAGCATGAAGATGAACGCGAACACGAACGTAAACCTGAACCTGAACGTGAGCCGAAACGTGAAAAACGTGGGCGCAAACGCAACCAAGAAGATTGCGATGAAGACAGTGAAGACGAAGACGGCGGAGACGAAGAGAACGACCCAGAACCTGAAGCAGACCGCGATCCAGAAAGCGAGCCTGAGCGCAAGCCTGAACGCGAACCTAAGCGCAAGCCTGAACGTGAGCCGAAACGTGGAGAACATGGACGCAGAAAGAAACCCAACCAAGAAGATTGCGACGAAGACAGCGAACAAGAAGACGGCGGAGAGGAAGACGGCGGAGAGGAAGACGGCGGAGAGGAAGACGGCGATGAGGAGTCTGACGGCGACGGAAGCTGCTGCAACAAGACATCCGAACTACTGCGCGTTGTAGTAGATGACGGAGTACAGGAGGAGGTGAAGATGAAGAGTGGAATTGGTGGCTCGAATATTGAAGGCGACGCTTGCAGATTTGGTGTGGAATCGAGTTGAAGAGTTCTCTGCACCATTCCTTGCATCCCTTGTGGGAGAGAGAACATTGAACAAGAGCAACCCGTTGAAAAATGCTCAACATGAGACTCAACGTTGCGTAGAAGCACAGCAGAAGGCGGTGTTTCCCTCAAAGGTCTTGTGTAGACATCCGGTATTGTTTGGTGAGAGCGATGACCATGTAACTGCGTCTGTAGGGACGCCCAAAGAAGCATAGAGACTTCAGAATACCTCACCTTCATCCCGCCAGCAAGCAGAGAACGCTCGAAAGCAGATACGATCAATGATGCAGAAGAAACATCGGGTCAGTTGTAGGTATGTTGTCCTTTTTAAGCTTGCTTGATCACGTTCGCCGCCCTGACCGACTTTGTCCGATCAAAATAATCAGGTCTACAGCAATGGCCCCATCAGCATCTTCGCGGGCTGCATGGCTGACAATGAAGCATTCCCTGTAAGTTCATGCTCTTTCTCTTTATTGTTCTTTGAACTGGCCATGTCTTCCCCTGACACAACATTTGAAAACTGCAATACCTGCAAGAAAAATAGACACACACAAAATTCAATCGTCTCTGTGTTGTTCTTCGACACAAACATTTTGTTTTGGGGGGGAAATCATTTACCACAAATGACGACTACTCCAGAAAGCTCATGTGCCACTAACCGAGGGAAATTTCCTACCAACGTCCTCCATCTCATAAAATGCCTGCATTCATCCACTTCATATTCATTAGATACATTTTCTCCTCTCGGACTGCCCACAGACTCAAGATGTTGTCCAAGGCGCCCTCTCCGAAGGTGGCCCGCGCCTCCCCTATCCCCTCTTCAACTTAATCAACTCCCCCGAACAAGAGCCCTACCCCCAGCGCCCACCTGTTCACTTGCTTGCTTTAGTCGGTGTACAACAAGGTGCGGTGACAGCAGGCTGCAGCACCACCGCTCATCATCCTATCTTCAGTTTTCACCGGTTTACTTTTTCTCCTTCAGGCACTCTGGTAGAGCTGCTTTCAAACAGATACCTCGTCTTCACGGACCCCCTCCCCCCCCTCCGTTTTCTGTTTTCTAGGCGAGGGTGATACTGAGTGTATTAGTGACGCCAGGGGACTCCGACTCTGAAATGGAGTACGTCATGACTTCGTGGGAGGACGATATTCAGACCGCCACCTCCGATGAACCTTACTCCACCTTTCCAACGTCCCTCAACTTGGCCGAGTACACGTGGACCGATGTCGGCAGCTACGGCATGATTTCGATCGCGACGGCTTCTGGGCACTACGTCGGCTTCGACGGTGGGCTGGTTTGAATTCTTTCGTATGAGTTTGCACATTCCAGTACTTTCTTTGGCGTAATCTTGGGAAGTGCTTCTTTTTCTCTCATCATTTCCAGGTGCTGCATCCCTCATCAAAGTCGTGGTCTCGGCGACCTATGAGACATGCTCGACACCTTCAACGAATGGAAGTGTTAGCAATTGAATGCCGCAGCGGTCTTGCGGGTGTAGCAGACAAGCAAGGGGTGCGGAGAGTACTGACCACTCATCGTGTTTCGTGTACCCCTTGCATCAATCTTAGCAGTCTACATGGATAGCAACGTTGTAGCCCACTCGCTCACGGTTCGAGGCATGGTCTATGTACTCTTGCCATGAGTGCTGCGATTCACATTTTTTTCCCTGCCCTGCAATTTTCCTATTCAGGTTCTAGCATTATGGCTTCCGTCGTGTCCTCCGAAGAAGAGCCCGGCTGGGGGTGCGCGAGCAGGATCAAGGAAACTGACGACATGGGAACCAAGCGCTGCATCATCATGGGCCCCCTCGAAGTTTATTGATTAGACACGGAGGATTTTCGAAAACGCATGAAAGCAAAAACGACGAGGGACGAATGCATGTATGCAGGCCGCGCATCCAAAGTAGACTATCGTAGAAAACAAGCTCAACACGCAATGTCCGTTCTTGGGCGACCTGGTTATGTTCTTTTGTTTTTTCGGGGAACATTAGCAACGAGAGGGCGCGATAAAAACGGGCCTCTGGTAGTCATCCCGTGCGCCCCGGGCTCTGCATTGTGGGAGGGTAGACGCACACATACTGGTGTTAATGAGGACGAGACAGCTTTTATATCGATTCATTGTGTCAAACGGCTGTGAAATCAATTTAGAATTGCGTCAAGTTCAACGGGGTGAAGTAAGTTCAACGGTTTGTTCGTTGTGCCTAAAAAACGCTATAGTTAAGTCACCAAGTATTACTACTTCGAAGAAACAGCTTTTAGGTAAGGGAAGACGGGTTGGGTAGTTAGGGAACACTGGTGGAAGGAACTTGTTTAGTTCATGAGGTGTATCTGAGAGTGTTTCCCAAACAGGAAGGCTTCGTCAACCTATGAGGTGTTGAGTTACGGACGGTTCATGTTTTCATGTTCTGGAACGAGCCATGTTGCTAAGAGAGCAATGTAGAATTCACGGCTGCGAGAGGGATAAGATTGTTCATCGCCCGCTTTCATCCGGATGGATTTGCCCTTTCTGACGACGCCGTGTCATTTGTGTGAGTCAGAGACGGACAATAACATGTTGCCCATTGATGTGCATGTTGACGCCAGACGTGCTTACCACGTGTCGTCGAAACAAGAGCCGAAAATAATCGCGCTCAATATCTGTTATGATCCTGAAATCAAGCCTGAAACGTGTTTCCTACCATGCTGTACCAACGACGGATCTCGGCCACACACACGGCCAAGATATATCTCCGCGTTCTGGGCAGTACAAGCGAACGCCCCATTTTTTCTTTCAACACAGCCAAAAAGGCGTCTTGGGTCAGCCTCATCCGACCAAAATCGCAACTCGACGGTCACAAGGCCAACCACGGGCGGGCGCAAACAATGTCGGGCTTCCAGCGCGGCTCTCATTCACTCAAACATTAGCCCTGTGGCGAGAAACAGCGTGGCGTACTGCATCGCTCGTTCCCCTGGCCCGAATCCCTTGGCCTCGGCCCTCTCCAGCCGACGAAACGCTCGAGAGACCACGCCTCCTTGAAGCAGTAGAGACCGGAGGTGCGGAGCCCTGCCCAGCAGCCACTGCAGCATGAGAATCGAGGGAACATGGGCGGTGTGCGCGTGGTCCAGCGCCTCCAAGCTCATCTCCAGCAGCTCTTGAATCTGCTTGTTCGGTGGGGGGTAGGAGCTGACATTCAGTCTGGAATATTATTGAAGTCGCAGGTTTCTGTTGTTGGTTGGCATGGGGAAGGGACGAATGGGTGGTCACTTCCATCCACATGCTGCAAAACGTAATACCTCTCGTGTCTAATAAATAAGGCCTGCACGAACTGCGAGGTTCTCCACACCGGCTGGGAAGACATTGAACCAACGTGGATCGCTGCAACGCATGTGGGGCAAAGACGGGAGGTGCCCCTACAAAGCGGGAGGTACCGCATAGTGAAGGGTCGGGACCGTGAGACACACAACAGGTCTCGAAACTGGTCGGTCGGCCGAGCATAGAGGCACAGGCTAGATGATGACCTAGACGTCAAGGCGGCCGTGTGACCTGGGGTGCAGCCGAGACTGAATTTCAGAAACGGATCGCGAAGTGTCAGTCGTTCGAGTTCCTTTACAAAGGGTAGCCTGAGTACTTTCGTGGCCGCTTGAAATCGCTCGTGGCCCGGTTTCAACCTCGGGGAGACAAAACGGCATGGAAATACCCTGCCGACCAATTACGTGCATGGCGGAGTCTTCTCTGCTCAAAGTAGGGTGGGTAAGAATTTCTAAAAGTTCTCAAGCGTGCCAAAGGGCAGTTTCATACGGATTTCCCTTAGACATATTGAGCCTTCGAGCAACACGCGAAGAAGTTGTTACCAACAATACAGCGGTATAGCGTTGACATTGCCGCTTCTTTTTTCTGTTCCACGTGGCATCTATTGCGGCTATGAAACACAGTGGCTTCTTCATGTTCGATTTTTTCGACACACCTCCATTCCGCCAATCCTTCCTCCGAGCAAGATGTCCAGCTCGTCTGCCACGGGACCAGTGTAGTGCAGCAACAGACACTGCAAACAAGCAAGGATAGCCAGTAATTATTTAACGATTGTTGTGTAGGGGAGAATACTGATGGTCAGGCATATCGTCGTGCAAATGCGTTCTCGAAAGCTGCTTACGCAGCACGTGGTGTTTAGTCAAGAGCGAAGATCGCCGAAGAAAAACGCCAACCTCTGAAACAAAATGTCAGCGACAGCAGTAGCATTATCACTATCGTCATCATCAAAAGCACCAGCAATACCATAGCCATCAGCTATGCCGATTGCGCGAAACTCCTTCTCCCTCGATATGGCGCCATATCATGGGTCGCTGCGGCGTATTGGAAAAACAAGCAGATACGCACGTAATTCCACCAAACACAGGACAACGTGTTTCTCGAGAACATATTTTTCTGACCGACCACAACGAGAAGTTGATCATAGGACTACCTGAAATTAGATGTAGACACCGTACGCATCACGATCAGCAAGCAGCGACAACGGCCACGGTACACGCCAAATCCAGCGTGGGGGAAAATTGATTCGCAGGGGCTGTGTACGAGTTGAAGGCATACCTTAATCACGGAGGAGAGGTCGTTGGCCCTAGCGGGATCCATTGCTGCGATGAGAAACTCTACGTGCTCCTTGGGTGTGGTCGCCGCCATGAACCCTCGAATGCTTGCTTCCTTTTCGTGGGCCATTCGGCACCAAATTAACAACAATGAGGGCAATGAGAGGCCTCAAAACAAAAACTTGGCAACGCTGTATCAATCCTGTGTGTTCCTTCGAGGGCAATATGCGTACGCGCACACCGTGACCAGCGCAGCACACGAATGAGGTTACTATTACCGGCACGCATTTGCTAGCGCCTTGATCAACGGAGATTGTCAAGAAGTACGGGGAAGTCAGAGTGTTCGAAAAGCATTTCGTTCGGTGTGGTTACCCCCACGGAGCCCCACGACATTTTCTTCAGGACGCAGAAGAATCCGCGTAAGAACAGTGAAGAGAAAAATTGCATACTCCATACAATATATATATATACAGAATAATATAAACAATACACCTTAGAAGACAGAAAGAACGATAGGATGATGCGAGGAGCCTATCCCCGCTATTGTACCACCTTTGTCCGAAGCCCGAACCCCCCCTCCCCTCGCTTGCCGTTCTCCTGAGACTTGCTGGGTATGTAGGCAATCGGCAAGTGTTCAGCGCGCTCCACCCTGACTTTGACAGGATGCACAAACCCAGAACCCCCCCCCCGTCCTCCCTTGCCCGAACAAGTCGGTCGCTCTCGCCTTCACGGCAACCTTCTATCAAGCGCTCTGGGGTCATTTTCGCACCTTGCGCTCCCTGTCCTCCTCCCCAGACCCCTCTCGAAAGCGGACCACTTGCCGGCGTCGGTCGGCTTCTTCTGGGAACACCGCTTCTACCACCTCGCGCCATCCCTGCAGCATTGTATTAATATAGTAGTGTTCGGAGAAAGAATTAGACACCGCTTCTACCACCTCGCGCCATCCCTGCAGCATTGTATTAATATAATAGTGTTCGGAGAAAGAATTAGATTGTGCTCTTCCGCTGTGTTGGGCCGCGGCCCATCGTTGCGTCTGCTATGTCCTCTTCTCAGTCTTGTTTTTTCTTTAAAGTTTTGTTGAGATTGCTTCTTTGCTCACTGTTGCGCCTCTGCGAACACGACTTCCGTCGCAACGCGCCACCCTTGCTAAGAATACGCGCGAAAAAATACCGCGCTTTGAGAACTCACGACCTAGCTTAAGGTGCTTTGAGCCGCAGGAGGAAGAGTCATCGGGATCGACCGCCTCTGACCCACGCTATCAAAATTTGCACAAAGGGTTGGGGGCGACTGAATACCTATGGCGAGAGAAAATCCAGAGCCCTGACCTTGGCGTTGGTAGCATGCCTAGAAAAATAACAGCTTTCCATCTTTCGAGGACGCGCCTAGCGTCTTACGTCGGGTATACAACATACGTCCAGGGCCCACGCTGATGCAGAAGAAAACGACGACAGCAACATACACTGGTCCCTGCACGACCGCCCTTGTGCCCAAACTCGACGCAGTTCTGCCTTTGGCCATGGTCGTGTTAGGAGCTAAAAAATGCACCGTCCGTGGCTTGCCTGATTCAGCGCCCGTTTCTTCGCCTCTCTTGACGATGGCTCCCGATTCGATTCCACCGGTTTGACTGATGGCCGCCGGGAGCAGTCCACGGTGGCCACGTTCCTACTACACGGGACAGGTTCCCTAGCCATGAGCTCCTTTGCCAGGTCCTGGAGGCAACCCGGGATAAGGACAAGGATATGGAGGGCCTCAAAGAAAAACACAAGAATATGTGTATTGCTACGGTAGGTAGTAGTTCAGGGGTGTCGGGGGCATACCCCATTCATTCAGGCTTGGGGCAAGCACACAGCGAGGTGGAGAAAGTGCTACCAAGCATGCTGTTTGCAGAGTAAGGTCGACATTCTTGCTGCATTGTTTTGACGCTGACGCGTCGCACACCGTTTGTTGTGGCCGACAACAATCTGCCGTCGACTCGCCTTGAGATCGGCCAGAGAAGACCTCCGAGGCCCGGAGCCGTGGCCGGCTCCATCAGCAGTGCCTGTGCCGACTCCCGCCCGCGGCATCTCGGATCGAGCGATCTTTGAAACCAGGTCAGCACCGTCGTTGTCCTCGACCTGGGTGGGATGGGGTGGAAGACACCGTGCGTGAGTCATTAGCAACCCGAAATGACAACTCTACTTCTTCAAGGATGGGGACGACAGTGGTGCAAACGGTTCTTTCAGTCAATTGTTTCTTCTGGAATCCTGTGCTCAACCCCCCCTATGCAAGCTATCTTCGGGATGCGGCGGAGACGTGGCAGGCAAACAACCCACCTTCCTGGACCCCGACCCTCTCTTAAGACGCAACACGTGGGGCTTGGATTGCCTCATAGAGGAAGGCTGTGCACAACCTATTGTCGTGGGCCTACGTTTGGCGGACGGAAATCAGAGCAGAAACAACAAGAGGAGGTGGCGGAACACCGCTGGTCGAGGAGTTTGTCGGGACCACGAACGAAGAAGCTTCTTCATTTTTTTCCTCGTCGCGGAGGTTTGCGTGTTGGCTCCGAAGTGTTTCCCAGACCACGCCGCACGCGCATAGTTTGAAGACTACAAGAGGCGTAGCGAGTTTCAACTTGTGTCGTCCTGTAGCTGATGTTGTGGCTGTTGATCGAGTTTCGCCCTGCCGTGGTACGGCTAATCAAGGAGGCATTTGTGCTGATTGTTGTTGGCTGGTCACCGATATTCGCTAGATTCGAGGGAATGTCCATCGGTGCTGTACCCACATGCGAGGCCTTGAGGACATTGAGAAGCCGGCGACGGTGGTCCAAGCGTCTCTTGAGCTTGCTCTCTGTTTTTTCCCTATCCTCGTCAGCCTCTTTAGCTCTCTTCTGGAGGACATCTTCCGCCGCAGGGTTGCGTGGAAAGCCCAAGCTGACCTATTGCAGAACGCCCAGGAACCAACGTAAGCACAAAACATGGTAAACTGCGTGGGAAGCGGGTTTAACTGGAGCTTGTTCATTCACGGGTGTCTGACCCCTCATTTTCCCTTTTTTCGGAAAACCTGGTTTCCCTCCGGGAAAAAAGCCTCCATATATGTGTGCCTCCAGAAGTCAACCTGAACGGCGTTCATTACATATACTTATTTAGACTCTCAACTATGTAGTCCACACTTTCCAGCGTTGAGACGATCCCAAGTCACATGACTAGTCTAATCTCCTTCTCTCATGAACCCTTTGCTCGCACCCTTCTATTTTGGGCACGGATTTCCTCCACCAGAGAACGTCTTCTGGTGCCCAGATCAAAGAGCTCCTTCCTGGCTTCCAGTACTCCTTCTCCCACGCTGTCCAAGAAACTCGAATCCACGGTCTTTTCGGTGGGCTTTCCATCGAGGTAGACGACCCCGGGGGGGTCGTCAAGTGGACCGAGCGGGGGCACGTACAACCTTCTGATGGCATCACTCATTTTCTCCACCGAGGAATGTTCAAGATCCTGGGCGATAGCATGATGGGGGTCGTGGTGATGCCTCATTGCGTCGTATCGTTATGTCACCGTCATTTCATTTCGAAGCACCCAAGCTCGATATGCTTCAATGCGGTACAAGTTTGTTGTTGCTGAGGGGCCTGCCAAGACGAGAATGTGGGATCTCACCTTGATTCTCAATGAAGACTCTCGGCGTCGGCTCCTTCTACGCTCTCGCACCTCCTTGGCGCGTTGGCTGGAAGTTTCCGTGATGTCGCGACCGCCGTTAGCACCCTCGGCCGCTGTCCGTTGCGCCGAGCCCGCAGCAGAATTGGAGCCTTTTACGTTGACGCCGTGCCCGTACAAGTCGGAAAGATTGCTCACTGCGGAAGGGGATATATAGACGTTCCTTGTGTCGTCTGGTAATGGTTGGTGTTCTGCGGCAAGAAGTCCGGACGGCTTTCGCCGGCGTTGTTGCTGTTGCTGCTGTTGCTTTCCATTTTGCTTCCCGCTCTCAGGTGGATGTTTCTCCTCTCCCCAAGCCAACATAGGCGCACCTGTCACGGATAAAGCGTTGCCGCTGGTTAAAAGAAGAGGCTTGTATTGTTGTTGACGAATTTTTTTTTGTATGTTTTGTTATGTTTTTTTTTTTTTGTGTCGATGGATTCTCCACCACCATATATATTTATCTAATATTTATGAAGTAGTATATCGCCCGCAGCGTAGAGGTCTTCCATGAAAAACCATATGCATACAATATGCAACTACATGGTCTACTATACACAGTCTGTATGTACATAGTGCATCCGCAAGTGGCCGCCGTATGCACAGGGCTTGAGGCAAGTGTTGCATGTAAACTCCATACCGTAGACTACAAGAAAAATAGACAATTTTTATGTCTACTGGTGTTGACTATCAATCTGTAGACTACTGTAGGTCTGTCTTGTAGTACACCGTAGTCGAAGGTCCCAAGGCGACACTGTTTTCGCTACATTGTGGCTCTCGATTTACTGTAGTGCTACAGTACAATAACAAGGTCGGAGTCTTTGGTAAAAACCCTGGCCGTGTTTACACTATTTTCCTAATACCATTTCACCAATAGGCCAGCACCCTCATCAATCAAGAACCGCATTCTCAATGCGGTTTTGTCAGGGTTGTACAGCAGTACTACTACTGTAGTTGGGGTGGCGGCCGGGCGGCAGGGAAGACGGCAGCAGGACGTACATATGCAGACTAAATTCTTACCCGCCTTGTCCGTTCCTGGGCCACCACCTCTCCCGGATGATCCCCCCTCAGGACGACCACCCCCTTGGATAAGTGATGATTCTTTGTCACCTTGCCGCAAGCGCTCAAGAACTTCTCTGCGGAGGACGCTACCTCTTCGTGTGGATCTAGCCGTTAGAACCGGATCCATTGTCCCGGCGTCCTAGCTGCCTGTCTCGGCCTCTCCCTTGCTTGTCCCTCCTGTGGTTAGAGCTATCATACCATCGACACGTGGGTACACACAGGTTTGCTGCAGCAACTGCTCCTGCTAGCGTGTACCGCGATTGAAGTACTTGCAAGAGGCGTTTCCACGTTTCCACAAAGCAGTGCGCGGAACCTTTGCGAGGATCAACCAATCACAGAGGTTCAGATCATGGCAATCCGGTCAATCGCACCCAATCAAATCAACACGGAGGACGATATTGCGCCGCTTCACCACACCCGAGAAGCGGAGAAGCGATTAGGGGACGATCGGAACACAACAAAGCAGCGCCCACAGCAGCGCCCACGGCAGCAGCATCGAGGCACCATCATGATGGTTTGGCGGTTTATTCCCCCACTCTGGTGTGGTATACGCTGCTACGCTGTGGGAGCCTATGAGCGGTCGTGAGAGGGTGTAGCAATTGGTTGTGCCGGTCCGTCCGCGGCGTCAAGCAACCCACCACAAACAGAGAGAGGCAACTAACTAAAGTACAATAGAGTCGTTTTTCGTACCGTTGAGCTCTGGCGCATGCCAGGGCCTGCGGGCAACCTTCTTTCGGCAGTACGTGAGGGGCATAGTGATTTGGTCCCTCCCTTGGTATAGAGCGCCGAACACCTAACCCTAACCCTAACCCCAGCCCTAGCCCTAACTATTTTGTCTAATCGTAGTCTATTGCGTGCACTCGTCAAACTTATCTGTTTACAGTCTATGTATGTGTGCAACAATGGTGCACGGAACGGTGCAAAGAAACAACCACATCTGCGGGCAGGTTTACCAACTACGAACACCACCTCGACCTTGTTGTATCACGATGCAAAAATTTTACCGTACATTGTTGCATACCCCACGAACAGCGTGCAAAAACTGTATAGTGATCAGCGTGCAACAACTGTAGTGCTACCGTAACACTGGCTTGTCTTGATGTGTAGTCCATAGCTTACAATGTTGACCCCCTCCAGATCTTCGACTTTACAGTCCCGGCACCCCAATTGCCCGCGAAGATTGGGTGGCAACCTCTGTCCGCGGGTGCTGACCAGTACGGCCAAAAGTAATGGCCGAAATGACACCGGAACGAGTCCAAGCCTCAGTGCTCCTTCCCAAACTACCATGAACCGCATGATCCGGTCCCTTAACTACTCCCCGACAGTCCTATCGCGGGTAAACAGCCTGTTTTCTACCTCCCCGAATCCGTCGACCCCACCCTTGCAGACGGAGGTACAGGTGCCGCCGCTGCAGCAGCAGCCGCGTTCATCGCCGTCTTCTGCATCCTCGGTCCCCGGCGTAACCTTCTTACAAGCGAATCCTTTTCGGCCTTCTCAGCAGCTTCCCTTGCCTCCACCTCGTCTGACACGCTCGCCCGCATTGCCGCCGCCTGCTCTGGCCCTCCCAGCCACGGGTGGTCGGCGGCCTCGCGAGCAGACGGCCGCTTGCTGTCGTCGACCTGGAGCAGCTGGTGCGACAGGAGCGGAGGGGAAGCAGGGAGCGGGGCACGAATGATGAACACGCTTTGATTTTGGGCGGCGAAAGCTTGCCTTCTTGAGACGGTCGATCGAGCGGATACAGTAGATATCCTCGATCGCGTACTTGTACACTCGTTGGGGTTGACGAATGTTTTCGTTCTGATCTGGCCTCACCTGCTTCAAGAAGCTCAGGCATTCCACACTGACAAGCGACGAGTCGTAGATGGCGCGCCCCTCGCGAATGTTGTTCTTTTCCGCCTCGTAAGCAATGTCGTCCTCCAGCTGCTCCCTCGTCTTCGTTCCTGCGGGGGTTGTGCGGTCCCCCTTTGCCTCCTGCACCCCGTTCTCATCCGTTGCGTCGTTAGTCAGTCCCGACACGTTGGCGACCCCACCGTGCCTTGAGTGTTGGAGAGTTGGTACGGGGAGATGGTAAATTGCACTCACCAGGCCAGGCCGGGTTTCGCGGGTGTTCAAGAACAGCCGCGTGGTGAGGATATACTATATGGCAACACGACTCGGAGCCATATGTAGAGGGTGAATATCGCCGGTGGAAACACCGATCAAAAACATGTATTGTCGGGAGCTCGGACACACCTTGAGGCTAGACACAAAGAAACATGACGACGGGTATCTACCAGACACAACCTACAAACCTTGCAAGTAGTGAAGCTCTACCGCGCGTTAGTTTTGGCTGATTTGGTGGAGATTCGTATGGGTAATAAAATGGATCTTATTGGGACAACATAGGAGTCGGAGCTGGAAACGAAGTCCATGTGTACCGACCGTTGACATGAACACAACGCGACGGCGAAGAGGTTGCCGACTGACCTGAATGGTGTCACACAAGCCAGAAGTTCGTGAGTCACCACCCCCGCCGCCCACACGTCCACCTTTTTGCCGTACTTGAGGTCTGCATCATCGCTCCTGAGCAGCTCCGGAGCCATGTACGGCTGCAGAAGGACAAGGAAACGTGGGAATGGCGCATCCACGTATACAGTACAAGTGGGGAAAAATAGGTCCGGAGTCTGCACCGAGTATTCTTCGATCCATTCTCCCCTTTTCTCAGTGAAGATCGCCCAAATCTGGATGCGTGTTATCATTGTTTATCTCATTCACCCTTCGCTGCGTCGAGATCGGCAATCGGCAGAATATTGCTTCAACCTCTGCCCAAACCAAGAGTTTTCCGAGCAACAGAGAGCCTTCGTGTAAACGCCAAACGAAAACGAGGCTAAACCTCGGAGGAAAATTGAAGCAAAGCGTCCTCGACTTTGTTTTGGGGACAAACGCGATACAATGCTACCTTCAACGTTTACGAAGCACACAAAGTTACAGGTCGGGATCCCGGTACATGTATTGGTCATTTGTAGCGTTGGGTTTCGTACCTCTATGACTGGTTAGGGTTTGTAAGGGAAAACAAACACTGACTGATTCAGTGCCTCGATCGAGTCAACGTTGGAGTGCGACTAGGAACGCCCTTTTCCTGGAGAGAGGTGCAACACGTACTACGATCACGACCTACTCGTCTCGATTTTCTCGATTTTTTTAACAACGACTACTCCTTGGAGATAACTCCACCTTCTCAGCAGGGAGGGGGGGTGGTCAGTCTGCCCAGGATTGGCCGTAGGTGAACGCCGTGGGACCAAATCTCCAAAACCATGTGACCATCTCTCCTACATGTAGTCTCCTGGTGAACGGAATGCGTCTTACTCCCACACTGTTCGCACCTTGGTCCCGACGACGTCTGTCAAAAATCCGTGCTCATCGGACAACTTCTTCGAGAGGCCAAAGTCGGCGAGAAGAAGCTTCTTGCCTGAAGCCCCACCTACGCCATATCCTGACGCAAAATAAAACGACACCACCGGACGAAACGATTTAGCATTTTTCGGCCGTGGTCCGTGGCAATTTTTACGAGTACTCAGGCAGTAAAACCCGACCACGCCATGAACTGAACAGTTGAAACTTCTTGGGGGAATTTCGCGATCGATTCGGCATCTAAGTTTGTTTCCTCGCCCAAGACACGAGTGCCTGTACGTGAGCCACATCGCCCTTCGAAAGGGTTCAACAGAAATGGGACGAGAAAAACCGAAAAACTTGCGTGTTTCATGATGAAACTCATCCTGAAGCTAGTCAAAGGAACACGCCTTTCGCAATGTACGGGATTGTCGGAACAGAGATTTGCATGAAATACATAGTTTACCAGTGGAATGACTCAGAACTGGTCCGGACGCTTTCATCACATCGCTATCATGTATCTGCTGACAGGGCTGTGCGCTGTTGTTGTTGTACTCCGCGTCCGCTCACCGTCGGGGAGGAGGAGGTTGTGGGGCTTAATATCGCGTTGGACAATGTGCCTGCTGTGCAGGAACTCCAAGGCAGACAGCAGTTGCCGAATGAAGTGTTGGGTCTCCAAATTGCTGAACGGCTTTCCCTAACAATAAATGTTGCGGCGTTGGCGGTGGGTTAACATTAAGACAGATCGTAAGCACCAAGGTAGAGAGAAGTCGTAGTCGAGAGTGAGTGCTGACGCGAAGGAGAGGAAGTAGCGTAGTGAAATATTGTGGCACATTCGGTTAATCAAAAGTGCGTATGTCTGATCGCCGAAGGCCAGCACCTGGCCTCAGGGGCGTACTATGTGATATACTTGAATGCACTAGAAACGTGGCAACGAAACTATAACCGGGCCGAGATCGGACTGTACGTTAACCGAAGGTCATTCCTCGGGGAGCGGGCGACCATCATCGTTTTCGGCCTGTCCACCAACCACAACATGATTAAACCCCGGCAAGGTCACACTCATAGGAAGGTGGACCCATTTTCTGTTGGAATGTCGAAAAAGTACAGTCCGCCAACGAAGCAAGCGCTGAATTTCGGAACGTGAAATATGCAAGGGTTGGAGTTAGCAAATTGAGTATTTGCGTTTTTCCTCGCAGCGCACACACTTACATTAAGAGGAACACTCACAAGGACAACTAGACCCGACGATCAATGTCGTAACGCTCGCGGAACGTAATATTGGAAACTGTTGGATGCGATTGGAAATTTCTCCATTTATCCGGCGTTTGTACACTTCGCACCTTTAGCATTGTCTTCAAATCGGTCATGGCCATTGGCATTATGATCAGGACCCTGACCAGGCAATCAACGTGTTCGGTGTGTTCGGGTTCCCGTTGTCATCGAGGCAGCAAGCCGCAACATGGTACAGCAATGGAGGATACACACAAGCATGCATCCAGAGAGAGAGAGAGAGAGAAAGAGAGGCAGAGAGGCAGAGAGAGACAGAGAGAGACCGAGAAAGACCGAGACGGACAAACAAACAAACAGAGGCACAGATAGAGCAGAAAGAAAAATAATGCGAGGGGGCACGTGACCTAGGAATATTGTTGTCAAGGAGAGCCAGTGAAGAACATGGAGCTAAGGGACGGAGGGCGGCGTTCGGGTTTGCGCTGGCTTCAACCTCGATTCGCCGCAAATTTCATGTTGTTGCCACGGATATGGTCCCGGAGAGTTTCATCGAGAACTATCGTATCCATCATGTATCATTGTTGTATGAGCGCACTGGAGCGGTCAACAAACTGAGAGCTAGCTTCCGCGCGACATGCAGGGTCCCATTGGGTGTGGCTTTTGCTGTGATCGGTATTTTCATGTGGACGACACACGCTCGAACATGGCGTCTCTTCGGCCGAGACACTACGCATACGCGTGGGGGCCTTTCGAGCGCCATCGCTCGCGGGTGTGCCCAACACGCACTTAGACAACTCTAAACGAGCGACGTTCTGCTCTTCAGGCAGCTTGTGTGTGTCACCTCTCGGTAGTCCTGATGTAGCCGAAGATGTCGACCACGTATGGGTGTACGTTGCATTCCTGCAAAATCGCAATCTCCCGGTCGATAAACTTATCCTGTGAATTCAGGAACATCCGGACCGCAATTTCCATTTGAGTGGCACGCCGGACAAGCAAGTTTTGTATGGGTACCAGTCTGTGTAAGGCTTCAGATGGACCGATCGATCACCGGATAGGCAGACAATGAGAAGAACCCAAGAATGAACATTCAGGCGGCCTCACTTTTCCACCAACCATTGGTCATTGTCTCGTTCTACACAGCGTGCCTCAGCCACCTGAAGGTGAGCTTCAAACCTACATCTATAATAGTGTATTTGGAAAAATTGGCGTCCACAACGCTGTTGACACCCACACGCAACGAAACGTTGTTGAAAACAACGTCCAGCAACCAGCAGACGTACCAACGCGCGATTTGAAGGGTACAGGTTACTGTTCTAAATACCATGGGTTTTCAGCGACCCGACATGCTTTTCTTGTGTTGATATTGCTTGGCGAACAACCGATGGAGAAAATCAAAATCAAAACGCCGGCGATACCCTTGTTTCACGTTTTTACCTGTGAGCCCAAGTCTTGGCGCCACCTGCACATTGCCTTCACCGCGATCGACACGCCGTTTGCCATGGCGATCTTGAGTACCTCACCTGGGTTCGCATTCAAGCACAAGTCAGAAAAGAAATGGATCGAGCAGCGTCAGGCATCGCCCGCAGTCAACGGCACCCCAAAGCACTCCTACCCAACCGGCGCCACTACCCAAGCTGTCTCACAGAAACTGCCGCTCCCGATCATCTTGCCGTGGCCATCGTCCTCAGCAGACACCATGTCTTCCATGCACCAGCGGCGGGGCTTTCCCTTCTCTCCCTCCGAGACAAGCCTCTGCGGCATCTGCGATCCGGCTTCTAACTCCTCCCCCGCCATCAGCTCGAGCTTGTGGCTTCCACCGATTCCGCCGCCGCCGTTCGGGTGGTTGCCTTCGCCACCACCTGCCTCGACCGCACCGTCACCGGGTTCGCCCGTAGACACCGCTTGGGGCTTAGGGCACACGGAGCTGTTGTTGTTGTTGTTGTTGTTGTTGTTGCTGGTGCTGGTGCTGGTGCTTCTGGGTCCGAGATCGATCGCCTTAGTGGTGTTCTGCACCTGTAGCAAAGGATCATGGCGGGCACAACAGACAACATGTGATACATTAAACTCTTCGAGCCCTCTCTCTTTTGTGTTTACTGAAGGAATGGGAACATTCGCGTTCTGGCAAAAGATGGAGCGGTATGAACATCAAGCTGGGAATCCAAAGCCATCCTCTAAATCCTCATTCGAATGTCCAAAGATCTCTCGAGGAAGACCGAACAGCCATGCAGATTCCCGGAACTCCGAAAAGGACGGAAGACGGCCGTTACACGGTTGGCCCACAAAGTAGGCGTCCTTTCACGTTGTACGGTCTGGTAGCCGGCCTCTCACTTGTACCGCCTGGTAGTTGTTGTCGGCTGCAGCTTCAAACACGTAATTAGCTGAACTTAGCGTGTGCACAAACCGCGAGGGTAAGTGGCGTTAGCGAACGTGCGAGGTTCCAATACAAGGCTGTACGTTTCGCCGGTTGCGTCGGTGCCCATGGCATCGGAGGATGTGGGTGTCTTTGGTTGTTTCGCCGGCGGGAGTACTAGCTATTGGACCCGTGAGTTCCATGTGCTGGAGAAAAGTCGACGTTGGTGATCGTGAAGAAACGGAGTGTAGTGTTCCTGGAGATGACGCGCTTGGCCGCCATCACCCATTCATGCCGCTGTGAATTCTCGATCGGTCGGGACAACCGCAGGTGGGTTCAATGCAATTGCCCCCGCGCCTCGAGTGCCTGTCGACTCGTTCAACCAGACCGCCCCTTCAATCTTGAAGACAGCATCACGCCAAAATTTTCACCAACTGTTTTCCCAAGTATCATACAGTCTATGGCCACAGACTGGGAAAAAGTGATTCATGCCCAAGCTAGAGGCTCATGCATTGCGCCCCTCGATGGGCTGTGAATGGATCAACAGGAATGTTAACCAATGTCCGTATTGGCGGATGTTTGGACAAAATCTTGTTCTTGCGCACTGGTCGCTTGCCCAGCGTACGAAGCTGGCGAGGTAACCATGGGGGTTTGGAACACCTGTCGGATGTTCTCACCTGGTCTGGTTCGACGACGGCATCACCACCCTTCTCGGCTGTACGTAGTCCAGGCGTGCCGTCGACACCGTTGACCCCGTGCTGTCCCATGTCGGTCTCGACTAGCATTGAGGCTGCCGGCTGCTGTCGGATTCGCCACGTCGACGCCTTCCGAGCAAGGTAAACCATCACGAGTCCAGCGCCCAAGAAAGACTCGGTTCCGGCGAAAACGCCCTGCGAAGACAATGCGTCGAAGTCCGCGAACTTCTCGCCGTATCCATCTGCCGAGAAACATGAACTCAAGTGATGTCCCTCAGCTACCGCGAAGATTGCGTTCGAGGGAGCCCCCTCGCAGGCGCGGTCGGCGGAATTGACACGGCCCCAACGCTGGGTTGCTGCTCTACCGTCAAAGATTTGGAGGCACTCTGGGTCTGCTGCCATAGCGCATAGCTCGAGCTTCGACTCGCCGAAGATACCCGAGGTGCTGGATGTGGCGCAGTCAAAAAGCCATGTGTTGCAGCGCTCCTCTACTTCGTCGTCTCTGCCGGACATCGATGAGCATCACGGGTAGAGAACTCGTTCCCATGGGTGCGTCATGTCTGTGGGAGCCATTTCTCAAACATATCCATGTCAGTAGCACTGCGGACTCCTCTAGTGGGTTTCGTGAAAGACTGCAACTTCGCACGTAGCCGACAATGAGACAGATGAATCCAGCAGCAACAAGAACCCGGTACGTGGCCTGGCCAATCCGTTTAGTCAATGGTACCAAAATATATTTTGTGTTGCGCTGTACGCATTAGGTCCACGAGTGTGTCACATCTACCCTCGCTGCCCGGTGTTTTTTTGTAGAATCTTTGTTCCCTCTCCGAGGAGCGCAATCACTGTTGTTGGTTTCGATTTGTAAGCTCGATATAGCGATATGTGGAACGGTGAGCCACAACTCATGGTCAAGGTCGGAGTCTCAATCTACATCCGTTGAAACATCAGGCAGTAGCGCGAAGTAAGTGTTGGGGCGATAGGTAGATACGGAAATTGCTGAAAAAGAGAGAGAAGCAACAGTGGTAGCCGACGAACTGATCGACATGATGGATGTACGATGCTCCGGAACAGTGCCGGCCGACTGAAATGAAGCACCTAGACTACATTGTATTTCGAGCAATATGGCTTGAAGCCTTTCTGTGTCTCAACAAATGAGCGCCGACTACATGTACACCACGATGTAGATCTAGTGTAACGTCGGCGACCGAGTTCCTTTTTTCACGCGGTTATTAGACTACCGTAGAGAAATAAATCTTATGTTTAGACTACTGTAATGCAGCTATTGTAGAACCTGAGCCTGGCGTCTTGTTTCCTTCATGTTGGAAAAAATATGTTTCTTATTGATTAGTCTTGTCTTTAGTCTTGACAGCTAGCAATGCAAGCTGCGGCAACTCACCTCTTATTCTTTTGCTGGAGCTTCGAGCGCAACGAAACCATGGCATTCCCGATCATGTCAACCAGGAAGCTCATCCTCCTGATTGTGTTCTCCTGAAGACCTCCCGCTTGGATCTCCCCGCCACCTACTGATGTCTTGAAACCGTAAAAAAGCAAGAGGACGAGATTGGGGTTGAACTCGAGTCGGCGATAGAAACAACCGAAGTTCTCGTGCGCATGGCACACAATAGTGGGTGGCTGTGATATATCGATACGCATAGCGCGAGGTGCACTTGACGTTGCGCGCGTAGCTATCTCAACGAGATGTAGCCGAATCGACAATCTGACCAAGACAAGGAATTTACTTCTTGGTAGATGCCTCTTCACGCAGAGAGAACGTGGCGCACAAAACCTTTTCGGTAGACCTATTGGCGTGAAGGTATGTAGCACACCGCTGAGAACTTCGATTGGGCAGGTGGACGGCGCCGTGGTATTCTTGTGTGGCGTATCACAGACTTCGGCGCCAACAGAAAAAGCATTCTGCAAAGACGGCTAGGCGAGGTTGCACACGTACGTGTGGGCCTCTCCCGCAAGGGAGATAGATATCTAACCAGTTTTTATCTACTGTACCAGTCCGACACCACCGAATGAACACATAGCTCGGTGCTTCCCGCAGAACCTTTCGCACCTCTCGTCCTGAAGCTATATGCACAGCTATTTCGTGCCCTGTCCAGGTCTTGGTGACGATGCTCACCAAGTTGTGGTCGCTGGAGCGGATGTACGCCACAGCAGTCGTCCGTTTTTTTTTTCAGAAAGTGGCAAATGAAACGGTTCGACGGCTGGCGAACGCCTCCGAAAACCTTCGTAGCGCCGACTTCTACTACAGTCTACGACGAGTGCGGATTGAACACTCTCTGAAAACTTTTTTGGATGCACACCCAGAGCCACCACACCCCCAGCGCTTGAAAGAGGTTGGCAAAGTCGGCCAAAACAAAAGCCGACGATGAACACACTGCTGGTAAGGGTAGCTACAATAGACTTGCCATGTAGACTGACTACAGTCAAAACGTATTGTAGGAACACGTATTTTAGTGATCAGATTTCACTCAACTCTTTGGCTGAAACACCAGACCCTACTCTCGCTCTACAAGTAAATGGAGAATAATTCTTCACGACTTAGGGCGGGTCTTTGCCGTCTTTTTGTTTGAGCCTTTTGGGGCTGAAGCCACCGAACACGGAAATTCACTCCGATTAACCATAGCTATGCAATCAATGCCCTTTTCGCACCGACTCCAGAAGAAACTATGCAGTAGACTACGTATACATAAGGAATGTTTTGGAAACGGTTTATTTCCTCTCCGAGGAAACGGACAGAGGGTATATTAAGGAATAATAAAAACACACACAGAAAGACTACCCATTCGAGATATACCATATAGTATGTTGTGGCATGGGGTGGGGTCCAACTTCGTGTACCTGCAGAATATTCCTTCGATTTTCCTCAACTACGAAGTACAATCTGGGTTTCGTTCGCGTCAAGAGGAAAGAAGTACATGTACATGTAGATGCAATCAAGGAGTGGCGCTCGGCGCCCTGTATTCCTTTGCTTGCTGGTTTCCAAGCTATGTGTTGCCGGACACCAAAGTCAGTGCCGGTCTCCGAACCTCGGGCAGGTGTTTTGGTAGTACCGCCGTCGCAGAGTTCCCCCGCTTAAAAAAACGTGAAAACGCCAACAGAGATTTCAGGAAATCCAAACACAACGGCTAAAACATTAAAAACTAGAACAACCGAACAGGTGCGATACCGACCGACTTTTTTCAGCCCCAAAATATCTCACGAGTGAGTGTAGCTCCGGGATTCCATCGAAGTGTAGAATAGAAGGAGGAAGCCTCCCACTACTTCCACATAAGAATTGTGTGCACAATCTGCAGTAGTTGCTACCACCAAAAGGCTGAAAGATGATGCAAGACCTGTAAGTATTTTGCAAGCCCTAACCCAAAATCAGCTCCGGGTAGAACAGTGACGTGGTTTTCATCCCTTTCTCGCCGTAACGACTGCCAACAGTTGATGAGTACTCCTCTACCATACGCACATTGGAGACGAAGAGTTGAACCACGTGTCCACAACATGGATATGTTGGTTCCCGCTATAACCCCCATTCCGCAATTCTAATGGAACAAAGCACACCCCACACCTACAATGCCTGAGTATCAACGCCGTCTACGTGTCCCGGGTCCTTTCTGAAAGCAAACCGTCGCCAGCACCCGGTTTCGAGTATATTCGACGCATCATTGATGATGTTCACCGAATCTCTCACACACGCAAAAAAACTCCCAAGTCCGCCGCCGCAGTCACGTTTCCCATACGGTACATCATAGCAGGGGTTCCAACCCCAATCAGCGCCCACAGTGCTCCATTGTTTCTTCCCCATTTTTGCCTCAACCGCAGGTCAGTGCCGAAACAACACCCACTCCCATCAACCCCGTTGTGGCATCCTTGTGCAAACCAATTTTTTCTCTCCTACTACTAAAACAGATGCCACGGGATTTCTACCCCCCCTCCCCACCACTGACTGCCGCACGGGGTCCCCAGACACGAAACGTGATGCGCACGAATGTCCAGAAGGAACCATCCCAACTCACTTTATGGCCCCCACAGCCTCCACACCCGTCCAACGTGCCCTGTTTCCACCAAGTTCGCGAAAGAACCACCATCTCATCCCCGCGGCACCTACCTAACCGTTCCCCTGCTCCCCCTCGAGGCGAACGGCCGAACAGAAATCCAGGAGACACTCGGCCTTCACTCCCCCCCTTGCGGCTCCTACACCGCTCGAGCTTCTGCCGTCGGTTCCCGGGACGTAGTCGCCACCGCCGCTCCTCCCCAGCAAACCAGGGGCCAGTTCGTCGAAGGGCGCGACGATGAGGTGTTTCAGGGATGCGCACGAAAGCAGCGCTGATGCTGAGAACGCGTTCAACGCTGGAAAAAGCTGATGTCGATGGCAATGGTGATACCGGGTGGTGGTAGTGGTTGTGGTGGTGGTGACAGTCGGTGTTGTCGGATGAGGTGTGTGTGTGTTGGTGTCGGTTGACGACGGCAGCCCGACCAGGCGACGTCATTGTTGACCAGTCACATGAACAAGGGACGTCCCAGGGCGGGGATGTGTGTGACGATGGACGGGGGAGAAAACTAGAAGAAACGAAGGTGACACCATGACCTATGTAGTTCATATATTCACGGGTTGTTCCTTGTCCCAATTATTATGTGGAAGCCGGTTTGGAGTATACACTACAGCGCTTTCCACCAAACTAGGATCGAGGGAGATGCTTGCTGCCACCAGAGTCACTCTGTCATTGGCCAAGCACAATTTCGTCTTCGAGAAGGTCCTGCTTCTTAAAAAAGGCATCACCAACATCCGAGCGCCGCTTACGTATTCGCCATATGTTGCATGTTTTTTTCAGGGAGGCAGATTGGCGTGAGAGATATAGTGCGATAATTTACAGTTTAAAATTTAGGAAACACTACCGCCCTGACATTGCCGACCAATTGCAGCAAAATACTCTTCGGGCGGAGTGCGGTGCTCGACAGAGAGACGCTCGATGACCATTTCCAGGGCACCGGTTGACGTAGCTCGCCGCGGTGATAGTCCAGCCTCAAATCACGACGGGAGTCTACAGCTTGCATGTTGCACTGCCCAAACAGCTTCAAGGAACAATCTAGGAGGACGTAGAGAATAGATATCAACTCTCCATTAACCAAGAATGGAATGAGACAGGTTCACAGAACATTATGCGCAGCGGGTCTGTTGCCGGGAAAACAGTGGAGCATGAAATAAGGGCAGAAGGCGATTAAAAACGGAAGTGGGCAACGTCGAGAGAAATGAAAGTGCAAAAGACAGGGAAAAACAACGCTTTTGTGGAGACGTACAGCAGCGGAGATCAGGCAATATCCAAAAACCAAAAGGCACCACTACCTGGAGAAACCATGCTTGACGGTGGTGCATCCCCGCCCAATCAGAGTCAGCCCTGGAGCGTTCGTCGACGGCCTCAAGCGGCGACCTCACCCCAGCACCAGCAGCCGCATTCCTGGAGACACTCCCTTCAGAAGGGGCCTCGGTCCCTGGTGAAACTCCTGCGTCCAGCCGCTGCCGCTTTCCTCCGGGTCCCTGTGCGGAACTGTCTCCCGCCCCGGTGATGGCAACACTGGTAGCACCGACGCCTTTCGTTTTCCGCCGTGGCTGCTGCTGCTGCTGCTCGGTGGTGGCCGCGTGTGTGATGAGCTCCGCCAGCTGTGCTTCACTGTAGCTATACCTGTGAGAGGAATAGTCGCGGGGTTGTGCCACCCTTTTCGTATTGCTTGGCCTACGTGTCTATAATGAGCGATATGCTCTAGAAAGTACCGAGGGATCGGAACGTGTGAATGAAAAAAACAACCACGCCAACAACACCCTGAACAGTCGTAGTGCTTCCAACCCACGCCGCCCTCTCTCTCTCTGCGAGGATACTCCGCCCACGAGTTTACTTTCATAAACATGCCTGATGAGAACGCGGCAGGGGAACCCCACCAGCCACTGCTCAAGCTTTTCCAGCGCGGGGCGAAGTCGGGTGCCTCCTCCGCCGTCTCTTCCATCCGCTGGTGCCCCGACACGGACCTTTTCCATCTGCCGGGCGAACATGCGATGGAAACGGTCACTTCGCACTCCCTAGGGATTCCTCAGCTTCTCTTCTCCCACCAGACAGATTCTTCTACAGGGTTAAAGTATTTTGTTCTTCAGGCACACGTGTTGTATTTGCATTGTGAATTGAACGAATGCTGCGAGCCTCTGGCCACCATCACGGGGGACAAAAAGCTAGGAGCTGCGCAGCATGCCATCTCTGTTCCAGATGCCGCAGAGAGCGGAAGTTCGAGGGCTCATTTCTATAGTCGGGAGTGGCTTCTCACGGAAATACGTCCAAGTGAGGGAATTGCAACGCGCTTGGCTAACCATTACATAAGCCAACCTCGAATAGATTTGAAAAATGAAAAGTACGCGGGTCTCTCGTTTGTGGTATCTCTTGTTGACTGCCGTGTCGTGAAATTCCACTCACTTCTGCATACGTGTCATGTTTTGGGGGGCTTTCCAGGTTTGCGAACGTTGGAGGTTTTCTCACTTGCACCATGAGCCAGAGCGTGGAGTACTTGAGCGATTGCAGCTGGAGGAGGCGGAGTTTTTCCTTTGCCTCAGCCGCCTCGGCTTCTTCCTCTGCTGCTGCTGCTTCCTCAGCTGATGCTGCCGCCGCCCCACCGTCCGCCCCGTCAGACGATCCTCCGCCTTACTCGACCGATGGCGAATGAAACAGGTGAACAAACAAATTCAAACTTACAAAATGTGTACGGCATATGCCGCGATGGAGGTCAATCTGTCAACCTTTTTCTCTAAGCTTTGAAACGTCGGGATCTGATGGCTTGAATTCCGGCACATAGCGGTAACATAGAACCTTGATCCGTTTGTGGAGATTAGGTTACGATTAAATTATCCCCGATCGTCTGGCCAATTAACATTCTACGCTTCCCTAGTAACGGTTCTCGACGAATACGAAACAAGGAACTGACGCGATTGGGTGTGATGCCCGAGGAAGGCCATTATGTAGGAGTGATTTTGCGCTCACCGTTGTCACCCCCGGGGCTAACTATCGCATCGCCCTCGCCCCCCCATCTATCGCCCCGGGACGCCTTTCTAGCAGCTTCTACTCCTTCTGAGGTCGCTGCGCGTGACTCTCTTCTGCGATTGTCGAGGATGACGACGGCGCTCCTATCACCGCATGGAACAAAACACAAGGGTAAACTGAGTTTGTAAAGTGTTCAAACGTAAAACCGCCGCCGCTTCTCCACCAAAGCGCTTCGAAGGTTCCGCAAGACGAGTGAGATGTGCGAATTTGGTCACTTCGCCGCACTGGATCTATTTTCGTTCCATCCACCGAGAATAAAATAAAGCAAGGGGACGGAGTGGTTTTAGCCAACTTCGCCCGGTTTCGTTGTACTGCAAAAAGCGTCAAGAACTTTCGTGCGGCGACGGCTGCAACTACCCGATCAAGACCAGTTGCGTTCTCGAAAGCTACGGACTGAAATGGCACATGTGCGGCAGGCTTCGAATTTCATTCTACGTCTTCTCCCAACAAAAGAGGCCGACCGACCGGACCTCCGTTCGTGTTCACGCTTGCTTGTCGAAGGTGTTTCGCAATTTTCATGTCAAATCTTGCTGTTCAACAAGTTGCGCTACCGTTCGAAAGCATTTCATCCGCACGCCAGCACTTGCCTCATGCTCTTTGGATGTTGTTCATCGAAGGCGAGAATTTCATCCTCCAGAGCATGAACTTGGGAGTGCTCGAGCTTTCCTTGTTAATTCCCAGACTCAGCCATAACTCGTCTGCGGACTACAAGCCCATGACAAACTACAGCAACCGTTCGTCCTACACCAAGGCGAAGTACCGCAGGAGGGGAGGGTAGAGAGAGGCTCTTCTGTGTGACCACGGTTTGGAATAAACGGCACTAGTGCTGTGAGCGCTGATTTGAAGTGAACAAAAAAAAAAAAATGGCCCCACAGAGAACCGGCGTGGTTATCTCCGGCCATTTTCCGCTGCGCTGTTCTTAGGAATGGTTTTCATCGTAGCTGCGGCCGTGCTTGTGACACTCCTCTTCAACACAACCGCAATCGCCATCGCTCGCTGGTCATACACATAGTCTGCATTGACCTGATGCGAGCCCTCGAAATCTACCCTCAACGACTCTCGCAGTATTCGCCCCTTGCTATCAACAACTCTCGGCTGTACCTCAACTAATAGATGTGTGGAATCCAAGCGATCTCCCTGCTCCTGTATGGGATCATGCCTATATCTTGTTCTAGGTGGCAAGGCCGAGAGTTGTGCGGTTCCTGGTTCGCTTTGTCGCCTGACATTCTGTTGTTGGCGCTCGTGGTCACATCTAAGGTAAGCTGCGTACCAAGGGTTGTCAATCGTTGCCAGGCAAGGGAGTGCTCATCGGACATTGGACGTGTGGAAAGAAGGTCTCCACGTGTTCCAATACGAGGACAACCTCTTCGCTGCTGGTCGCGGAACTACATCAACGCGCGTCGAGAACAACCTGTCCGCTGTTTCACCTGTTTCCAATGACCATATTCACGGGACGCTCCACCGGGAGCTCCAGCAGGTGAAACCGTCCGCCACACCGGGAAACCGCAGCCGCAGCCCTCGCAGCGGTGGCGGTTGCAGCAGTTGCCACCTCCGGTCTTTCGCTGCGAAACGCGATGGGTTCCTGCGCCACTCGCGAAGTACTGATAGCACCAGGCGTCGCTCGCGGCGCCGATAGGGTACGAACCATGCTGCCCGCGCCACTCACGAAGTCCTCCGATACGACCGCGTAGAGTGGTCTGTCGAATTGCTTCCCGACCTGGAAACAATAAACAGTAGTAAGCCGTCCGGTCAACGTACTTTATGGGGGCACAATGCGCCCGGGAACATCATGGAAACGATAACACCTTGAAAAATTCAGAAATGGACACCGGTTGTCGAAGTGAAGGGCATTGTCCTCTTGAAAATGCCGAGTCGACAGACAAGATGACTTAGAGCGGGGTAATTGACGGCTGGCTGCAAGACAGTAGTTTCAAGCTTGGCGACAGCCCCAACGAAAATGCTAACGGCATTTCCTGAAGGTAGTCGAGTAAGCCTGCATTGGTAAGGGAAGCGTTGCTAAGGATAGACACCATCTTGATCAGCGATGGACACACCAAGAACTGTTGTGTGAGGCACTCTGAGGTAGGGGGCTGACGACGGGATGTCCGTTTGAGTCGGAGAGTACCGAGTGAGTGACTCTTGAACTTGTAGAATCCATCGAGGTCGGCCTAGTCGGAGAAAACGACAAGACGCTTACTTGCTAAGATTTGTCTCAACTCAACGCCTCGAAGTCATATCGTTCGTCTGCTGTATTTTCTGGGTACAGTGGAAGATCCGAAAGCAGTCATACCGCACTGGAAGTTGTAGGTCGGAGAGACACGCCATCCCTATATGTTGACGCAGAAAAGCTATTAATAGCACCGCCGCCGCTGGGCTCGGAATGCCGCCGTGGTGTCTTTGTTCCGGTGGCCGTCGAATCCAGCTGCCGTTTATTCCCCGCGGCACCTTTCCGGATTGAGCGTACAGAATGTCGAGTGATACATGGCACTCATTGTGGTGCTTTCTCGACAGCGAAACACAAATACGCCGTTTTCGTTATTTACTTCCCGCTCCCCTCCGAGTGAAACCTGGGGCGTCCCTTGCTAGAGGTGAACCGTTTCATCGGTATTGAGGGGGCATGGTGCACTATACGCATACCTGAGGTCGAGTGTCGCCCCCTCGAAAGGAGGAAGGTTTCTCCTACAGAACCGGCCCGGATCAAGGCAAGAATCTCGCGCTGCCGAGTCGATTCACAGCCTGTAAAGTGACGGTAACAGCTGTTGCTCATCGTATTTGCTAGTTTCATACATGGAGAAAATCACTCCTCGTGCTTGCAATGTTACCCCTCGTAGTCTAGCAGGAATGTCAGCAAAGGTGGCCGCAGCTCATCCGAGGCTGAACACGACCAAGTCAGTTGTCGGTGTTGCTCAACCAAAGGGACGTGTTGTCTATGCACACATGCCGCCAACAGTTCCTGCGGTAAACCTGCCGAACATCCCAAGAGAGTTCCCCGTTGACCTACCTGCCATCGCGGCGTCTTCTTCTCCCTCTTGCTTGGCCCCTCTACCGCTCGGCAATCCCTCCTGCCTGACCATCGACATCGAGGAAATTGCCGTCCCCGTCGACACCAAGTGGGCCGGGCCCACTGACGTCGGGCGATGCGAACGATTGTCCCGCTCTGTGGACGACACCAGGCGCCGAGAACCGTTTGCATCCCGGTCAGGACGTGCGGTGGTGGTACCACCTTGCTGCACCGACGGCGAGCTGACTGCATGCCGAGCTGGGGATCTGGCAGAACCTGTGGATACCTGGTCACACTCCGAGACGGCACCGCGTGGAGAATGCGCGTGGTTCGGCTCTGAGACAAGCGCGCCATTGGATGGGTTTTTCGGCTGGGAGAGATGTGCACCGGCGGAGTTACCCACCACCCGTTTTCTCGTTGTCTTGTCCCGCGAACCCAACCCAACAGACCGAATCTCCCCAGATCGGTGCGAATCTTTCACGAACTCGGGAGTATCGGAGACAATAGCAGTGCAAGACTCCTCTGAAACTTGGGGTCGTTGGCTCGTGCCGGGGAGACCGCTGGCGGCAGTGGTGGCGACTGCAACCGCCCGGGGATCGTCACCGCCACCTTGGGCACGGTGATTAGATTGAGTGTGTATTCCGCCTCCAGCCTTTGTTGCCGCTTGCTGGTGGGGATGCCGAGCGGCCACGAAGAGCGACCCCAAAGCTTCTGCCGGTGCGGTATTGCCAGCAGCACCTGCATTGCCTTCACTGCCACCGCCTACAGTCAACGACTCTCCCGGCCCCAAACTACAACCATGGCTGACCAAGGCACAGCCGCCACCCGACGTGGCCGTCCTTCCCGCAGAGTCACTTGTGCTTCCTACCGCCATGGGGGCAGGTGGAGGCGATGTTCGACCCTTTGCACGGCTGGGTGTTGCACCAAAACCCCACATGACTTCACCAAGCTTTCTCTTGCTCACAGCTGAGTTTCCATGCTCGGCTGCTTTCACTGCTGCTCGAACCGCGACCTGCTTTGCATGAGCCGCCTCTGATTTCGCCGTCGTGCTTATCCCATCGCCTACGCCCCCACCGCCTTCCTCCTGCGCGGCAACCTTTGACCCACGGTGAAGCTGCTGAGAAGAAGGCTCGACACCTCCTAGAACCTCGCCAATGGGTCGCAGAGAGATTAAGCCGCCCTGCACCGGTTCGTCACTACGCCGTGGTGTTCCCTCGTATGGTGGTGCATCCTGCGGGCTCCGCACTGCGTTCATGATTGGATTGTCGTGCGCTTGCTCTCGGAGGGGATTCGGAACTACGTGCGATGGCAGAGGTGTTTTTGTTCCAGGTTGCGACCGCTGGCAGGAGGCCGCTGGCATCGCGGCAGGGGGCGACGGTGGAACGGCTCTTCTTGCCCGGTCCACCTTTGGATGGTTTGGTGGATCCTGCTGCTGCGGACCTTGGGCATTGCCAGCGGGAAGAGGAGCATGCGTTTCCCGCCAGGATGCTGCCCAACACATATTGTTGGGGAAAACGGTCTTGTTGATCTCTCGAAACGACGTGGAGATAAACCACTGACAGCTATAAGTACGTGAACTGCTGGTTGCAATGGAGCATCGCGGGCTGGGAAAACATCTACGTCAACGAAGCGTTTCGGAAATAATTCCTTGCATAGCAGTGACTCAGAAGGCAATATCGCGGACCCACGCCTGCGGCCGCAGGGGGAGAAGAAGCAGTACGAGCAGCAGTAGCAGTAGCTGGCGGCATAGATGTCGAGTAAAATGTCTCGCAGTGGAGCTACGCCGAACATCCAGAAAAGGGAGTGATCTCTGCCATCATTGTGCCGTGATTGAGGTGGGGGACTAATCGTTCACACACGAGGTGCACGGGTGTGGAGAAAAGAAATTGTTCTCGCTCCCCCAACGTTAAAAAAAAAAAACATACCAACGCACTCCGGACACTAAGGTGCGCTCACCCAGTATGTCATCTAGCAACTTGTCCGTTGGCGCGGTGACCGATTCATGCGGTTTCGTCGTGTTCCCCATCGACAGGGCCCTTGAAACAGGATTGTCGCCGAAGAGCGCGTTGATGTACTGCCCTTGCCGTGCAGTAGCGAGTTGCCGATGGGGCGGTAGCTCCTGTAGCAGTGACTGCTGTGTTGACACCCGGCCTGGTCTGGTGTGTCTCATCTGGGATGACAGTCCGGTGCGTTGGAGAGAGTTTGATACATGCACGAGGATACAAGGTACCGCACTGGTACCGAAGAACACTTTCAAAAGCGTGATACTCTCCTCCTGACAGAACCCCAACGACCAAGGTATCAAAAAGAGTAACCGTGCAGTGCAGCACAGGTTTTGAGCGTATCCCCGTTTCCGTTCAAGGACATGACAGGATATTGGCTGAACACGTGTTCATCTCACCTCGCGTATGTTGAGGAGGCAAAAGTCACCACACTGTCACAACCTACGCCAGGCCTTTGCCCCGTAAGTCCCTACCATGTCGGCATTTGTAGCCGAAACGACTCGTACTATCCGATCATCGTTCGCCAACCCCATGGACGTACCTTTCGGAGCTCTGCAAACAACCGAGCGAGCACGAGCAGGCTTTTCTTTCGCTGCCGGCTATCGTTGTCACCGCCACTTTCCAAACCCAACCCATGATTCTGACGCGATCCCAACCCCAGTTCTTGAGGCGGTTGGCGTCCTCGCCCACTCCTTGGCCCTCCGACAACATTGGTCATCGGAATGGATGGAGAGCACCCCGGAAACAGGGAACGGGGACCGGCGTTCACACTCAGACTGCTGGCCGGTTCGAATCCGGGCCGATCGTGTTCGTCAGCTAGTTGATGGAACCTGAGCCTGTCAGCGGCAACAAGCTGTAGCAGCAAAGATTCGGCAAAGCAAGCCGTTGGATCCAGACGTTTGTCAGTGTGGAGTACGGCCAGGATATCGAAGGTTAGCTGTATGTGCACGCGGGTCTACCTTCATTCGCCCCACCTTGAGAGATGAAGCGACCTCTGGCAAAAAGTACACGCGCACCTATGGTCCACATCCTGCAAAAGCTATCATCTGTTCGCCGCTAAACAGGCCGACCTACCGGAGTTTCACGACAAACGTTCCCAAGTAGATGGAGCAGTCCAACGCGCTTGGGTGGTGAAGGGTCGTGCAGCCTCAGCTCTTCATCACAGTTCGGCCCCGGCATGCTTGTCCTGCTGCCGTTGAAATGTTATGGTTGTTGTTGATGATGATGTTGTCGTCGTTGACTAGAAATTCGTTTTGAAGTATCATGCATCACCTTTCATCCAGCATTCGCGTTCCATACTCTAGCCATCCCTCATGAGCCGCTGGATATGTAAGGGGGGACGTATTAGTCCATCCTGTTTCTAAACAACCGCTGCAAAAATGCAGACGCAAGAATAATACCAGGGTGGCAACGTCGCGGACATTCAACAACACACACAAAACATCGGAAAAAATCTCCAGAGGGAGGGAAGACATGAAATATATTGTTGCTTGAATGTTCAGTGATCGAAGTTCTTCAACGAAAAAGGAAGCGGGCCTTTCCGGGTTCAGAAATATGCAAACAGAATCCAGGCTACAAATGGAAATGCAGCAGGAGCTCAAGGACTGCGCTTCCCGTCCAAAAAAAGATTTGACATCAGACCGGTGCATTCCAGAAGGCTTGGAAACACATCTCAGGTGACATGACGAACGGAAAACTACCTAAACTTTCGCTCCCAAATCATTGTTGAAGCCACCACCAAGAGCGCAGGATATACGCCGCAAATCCCGAAGGAACCGCGGTGCTATGCTACTTGCTGCGGGCGTGTTAAACAACGTCTTGTTGGTCGCCACAAAAAACTCTGGTACAGACCTCGGGAACAGCTGCCCGAGTGTTCCTTGCCCAGGATGCACAGGCGGCATCGTGGTATGCCAATAGATACAAGAAGATACCACATCATGTAGACGGCCTCCGGGAACAGCAAGGCTACACGTTGGCGCGGAACTACATCACACAGGTTCGACAACCCGATACTCCACACTGTTCAGATAGCCATGTACAGAATACACTCGGACCATGTGCAAATGTTCAGCTTGTCTTCGTCGGGTATTGAGGGGGGACGTACTGGAAATGGAAAGACGCACCTTGTGAAGACATCGAAACCACGCCCCACCACATCGGGGAGGCCGCTGGACGTTTGGCCAACCATTCCAAAGACTGCAGCAGTCCCACCTTCGGCCTCGCTAGCAACTCTGTCGCAACAACCTCTCGATGACGGCTTGTGCGGTTGTTTTCCAGACTCAGGGGAGAATTCAATTCGCGTCGACCACTGCTCTCTACATGACTCCCAGGGTAGAACGCTCCTATCCATCACAGCCGAACGGCGGCGTCGCTGCTCAATCGGCCGCGCCTGTTGAATTTGTGTGATTTCATACGGTTAACTGTTGCCACCAGCTGAAAGCCATGCGCAGCACGGGACAAATACAACCAAGGAGTCCTTCTTGGCAAAAACAGGTAAATCATCGGATGAAAACGCATGAGAAGAACTCTTTTCGTCAAACACAACATTCAGGTGACGGGACACCTGCCGCACATTAAGTTTCATTGCTCGGCTATTCAAGACGGAGAACGATAGTAATGCCTGGTACAATAATGTGTGGTGTTGGACGTGCGACTTTACAACCGCAACGATTCCCCAATCTGTTGGTCGAACGGTAGCCTTCCCCACGTTTCTACATCAAGAGGAGGATAAATCCCACAAACAGACGTACGCATATGCGTTGTATGTTGTCGCTTCATTCAACCTACACGACCCAATCTTGGATCTTGTTCGAACGCTGCATGAAAATATAAATTCCTCGGTGGATGATCACCTCCAGAAGCCGGCCAAGATCAAGAGCTCTCCAAACAGAAGGAGGCGCCGGGCATTCTGTGTTCAAAGTGCTGTGGTGTTTGTTGAGCGGCAAAGAGCCATACGTATCGCCAGCGTCCCCGTTGTCCAGATGACGGGTGCTGGTGCTGCTACCAATGCCGGGAAACGATTTCCGGAGCAGCACAGAGGCGTCCTCATCCAGGTCCAGTGTGATCGCCACAAAGTGCTGCTGCAGCTGCTGTTGATGTTGCGGTCACAGGGCACGTTTGTCATTCACTCAACAGTTGGCTTCATTTTGCAACGACTGTTCGCAAGACTATGAAAAGACTGTACCAAGCTCGGATGTACTTGTTGCTGATTTGGGCATGGATAATGGCTACAGTTGCTTCGATGAGGTGCGCCGGGTCTCCCACGCTTTCTACAGTTTCGCTAAACCACCCACAGGGCACCCATGGACTGTCCATGGGCACCGAAGTGCGCATGGGCTGCCCATGGGGAATGGCCACGGGCAAGCCCATGGGTAGCCCGTGGGCAGCCCATGGGCCGCCCATGGGCGGCCCATGGACCGTCAATGAGTGCCCTTCAACCGGAACCATTGTACTCCTAAACAGCATTATCGGCTTAGGACGGGGCACTATTACAGCAAAAAACCCAAACTCTAACCCTATCCCTAACCCCAAGCCCGCACGATACGTGACAGGTTGGCACTGGGTGGCTAAGTTCTACTGTAGGTTGATGTGCCGTTGGCGAAGTTCTACGTAGGTTGGTATTCTGGTGGCGAAGTTCTAGATTGAAGTACCACGGTGGGCACTTCGTGGGCAGTTCATGGGCTGCACATGGGCCTACCCATGGTTGGTATTCTGGTGGCGGAGTTCTAGATTGAAGTGCCCACGGTGGGCACTTCGTGGGCAGTTCATGGGCTGCACATGAGCCCACCCATGGGCAGCTCATAGACAGCTCATGGGTAGCACATGAAGTGCCCATGGGCGGCCCATGGGCTGCCCGAGCGGCTTAGCAAAACTGCCAGTAGTGTGGGAGATTGGGTGCGCCGACGTCAACCTTCACTGGCCTCTGCAGAACCGTTCTTTTCCTGTGGTATCGGGTATGGAACATTCATTTTCAGAAACGTGTATGCTGCAAAAAATGTACTGATATATGTCCCCGCTTGTATCGTACCTTCTCCGCTCTCCCTTGTGCTAGTTTCACCGTTGGAGGACAGGGTGGCTCCAGTGCCTTGCCTTCGTGGCTGGCTACGAGCTCGAGCAGACATATCCCGGCACCGACACTGTCAGCTGGAGCGATGACAGCTTTCCGACCCTGAGCCCTCTTGCTTGAGGAAGCTGTCGGCCAAGGTAGCCCCATGGTTGTGCTCAGCATGCTTTGTGTCACCGAAAAGAGCGCCTCTCTATGGACCCGGTCGGTCAACATCACTTTGGGGAAAGACAACTTGGGCGTGAGCGCTGAGGTGGGGTCGCTAACGATCACGCAGCAGGTTGGCGACGCTGGCAGTGGTTGTGTGGGCGAATGCTGTTGGGGATACTTGGCCGCGATGTCCCCCGATTCCACCGGTAGACTGTTCTTGATGGTATTGCCCTGGAGGTGGTGGAGTGAACATTTGAAAATCGTTGTGTTACATTCCAGGTACGCGCGTACTGCGCTCCAGGAGGACAAGTTTGACGCAACTATAGCGTGCTTGACCATTAACCTGAGGCGCTTCAGACACCCTCTCGGTATAATTGGCTTCACACATTCACTGAAGCTCGAAGCTCCCTCAAGTGGCAAAGGAAAACGATAGAGTCAAAAGAACGCAGAGCGAGGCAACTTTTGCTGCATTCAGCGCACCGACTGCAAGGCACACCCGGCTGGTGTAGCTTCGTCATCACGCCCTTGCTCCTCGGATCCCGGCTGGTCCCTTTCTTGCATAGCCCAGCCTTGCTTGATAGCTGCAGCACACGACCATGATGCAAGGTCGGTACTTGGTGGCACCCTGCTACCAAGTAGTCCAATAGGCGAACGAGGCGCGAGACGTCGTTCACTCCGCAGAAAGTTGCGGAGCGATTGCAGCGGGTTCGAAGGTCTTCCGGATCGGGGTGTGCTCAGTGTTACAGCGGTCGGCAATGCTGACGCGGAAGCTTCGCCGTCATCCCAACACGGACCCCGAAAGCGTAGCCTCATCTCGATGCCTCGGCGGCTGTGTGTGCAGCTGGTGCAGAGCTCTCTCTCTTCACAAACAAACACGCCTCCTTGTGTTGTTCAGCAAAATGCCTCGCGAACGTCTTCTTGCTGATCTCAAAGTGCTTACTATTCGCTATATGGACTCACATGTTGCCTATTGGACCATATAGTGTTCCCACCGTTTGCTGCTACACATACATGTCCAAGAACGTTTGATAGAAACCGGTCCCCCCCCTGCCGTAAGGCGAGACCAGTCGCAACGTCCGGTCACGGCTGCTGTCAGAGCTGCAGGCTACAGATGATCCCGCGGAGCTCCGCAGCGGAGCCGCTGAGATGGTTCCGACAATCTAGAACCTGGTTCCTTTTTTGACGCCACCCGGCCGGTCCCGCCGCCTGAATCGCTTCCATCTGGCATCATCATCGAGAGCGTCCGGGTGCTGTTGGTCACAAGGCAGAGCGAGGAAGGTCGTGTGCAGCAATATTTAGCAAATATTTGAACTTTGAACTTTGACAATACAGTTGATTGCCCAGGGACGAGGCTGCATGTCCCGGTAGTGTAGCCGATCCGAATCTTGCTGACAGCTGCTATTGTACACAGCTACATACCGCAGGCAAAGTATGTAGTCGTGGTCATTCGCCACCTACATGATACCCCACTCGTCGCGCACCACCACCGCTGCTCCCCACACCTGTAGCCATTCGGCTACCCCTGTGTGAACCCTGCAGGCAAATAGACCCTGCACGGACACTGTGACACCCTGGGAAGGTAATTGGTCCCCACAAGGTCCATGGGCCGGAACCCTGTCAGGATGTCGACGCTGCCAGGATTGTAAATAAATAAGGAGATCTGTGGGCCGTGAAAGGCAAAACCGCCAGGAAGATCCTTCACATGCACACACCAAGTGCTCTGCTGTACATACATACATGTAAGACTGAAACTATTGCCGCATTGCGATGTTGACATTTGCCGCCTTGGTGACGATATTTCACGTCTTCTTACGCACAAATCATCACACTACGGGCAGCTCCACAGAGGCGCGTGCTATAATGACATTTGTTCATGACAGAGTGACTGCATGCGGTGCGGCAGGACAGAGGTGTGTGTGGGTGATGATGTAGACCGTCATCCATCTTCATCAACGGAGCCCCCGTACGCTTCATATCTTAGCCGCGGCGCCCCTCGGCCGCACAAACAGACGCATGGCATGATGGTAGACGGGAGATGGACAAGAAACACGAGGGACACGACCACACGCGCCACCCACCACGCACCACGCACCGTAAGTGCCGTGTAATGTCGATGTTTAGCACTGTATGCCACAGCTTGCCTTCCCGCCGACGGGAATCGATGCTTTGATGCGGTTCGGATTGGCGGGAAAGCATGTGGAGGCCACCCCAACCAACAAACCGCTTTGACTCAGCCGGCCGCTGGAGGGTAAAGTGGACCTCAACAGGACAGCAGGTCAAGGCACACACTCAGGAGCAATCGGGCACAACCTTTCCTCGGCATCGCAATCTCAGGTGAAAGCTGCCTCGTATAGACATTCACCGGCGCACCCCCACCCAGACGCAAGGAGTACAGCAGCAGCCTACAGTCCATATTCAGATGTACAAAATTGTCCAACGGCAACGAGAGACCCGCATGGCAACAGAACAGCAGTCAGCCTCTGTTGGTGCGTGTAGCATACGTCACGCTCGCATGCTTGCACGGTTCCACGCATAGGCGTCTCTCACATCGCTTCGCGAACGCGTGCTTTTCTTGGCGGGTTAGCGCAAAGCTCGTACGAAGAGAAATTATAGTTTCTGTAGGTCGCGTAAGATACCACGGGTGTGGTATCTATGGTGTACAATATGAACCCCCGAGTCTCTGTACTACCATGTGCGACGCGTTTGTGCAGTCGTACCATGTATCCCCTGCCTGTATTTGTCTAGTTCAACCTACGTGTATGGCACCACGACCGTTATGACCGTGATCTTTGCTGTTTGTATAGCATGACTGCTGATGATCCGGCGTTGTGTTTTACACCCCTCTAATATCCTACAGCAACCTCGTCTTACATGTAGATCAGATTTCTCCCATGGATTGTACCCACTGTTACCTTGTGTAATGTCGATGGAAGAAGTGGGTGGTGCCGCTAGGTGGTATTGCCTGTTCGAACTCTGTTCAACTAAATATGTGTGTTGTAACAAGAGCGGTGCGGATGATGAGATATCTGTGCCCTGTAGGGAGTGCAGATGTGGTCTTACCCATCCAACGTCTCTATTGTTCTCGGTCTGATGCGTGCCTTTTGGTTGTCTTTTTTATTGCGTGCTAGGGACATGGTCTTGCGAGTCACCAAGGCGCACATGGCGTCGACACGTCAGGACCTATCCGAGAGGCAACTGCTGGAAGAGGATCGGCTACACGAGGACTTCGTGGCGCAGGTGATAATTTGATTCCATCTGATTTGCCCTCAACGACTGGTGTCCCCCCGTGACTTATTTTCATGTTCACACCTATATTCACGATCGCAGTTCAAACCCATCGCTTGTTCCGCGTCCCCACGAGACGAAGTCGTGTATTAGCACATGTGAGGAAATACAGAGATTCGCCCTCCTGATGTTGTAAGAGAACACTCCAGCGCGCAGCAGGAAAATATTAATACCGCCGTGGTGGGCGGTACCGGTATACGTCTTACCGCCGTTTCTCGATTGTACCGCCACCGCCAAAGTCGATACCGCCGAAAAACGCAATACCGCCGACCGCCAAAACTGTTACCGCCTTATGACAATATCGCCGAAAAAATACCGCCGTAGTCTATGGCAATACCGCCGAAAAATTACCGCCCATAGGTGCATTACCGCCTACCAACGGGTGAGTGGGTAGAGACCTTGTCTCATCCAAAGTACAGTCAAAGCGAATGTCAAGCATTCGAGTGTGTTTTATGTTGTGAATGCCAGACTGTCGTAGATTGTCACGCCAGATGACCTGTCGGAGATCTACCTTAGGGGTGTTGCCACAGATGGAGTCAGCGTATGCTGGACGCTGAACCTGCTGCAGTAGGCTCAATTCCCCCCTGACTCAGAACACAACTATCCGTGCTCTTCAGCCTCTCCACCAGAGGTTGAACCGGTGTGTACCCACACCACACATCCCAAGGGTAACTTGTCCACACGTAAACCTGGAGACATCCGTCTCATGTTTTTTGTTGAAATGTGAAAGTCACCGGTGAAAACGACAAAACCATGGAAGAACGTGGTCAATCTTCGGAAAAGACGGTTGCCGTCTGTTCGGGCGCTGTTGTTTGGTGTCGCTTGAAGTTGTGACCATTTGCAATCATTGCCGCCGTCAAAATACCGCCGTGGTGGGCGCCGTTTTACCGCCGTTTTTCGGGTTTACCGCCACCGCCAAAGTCGATACCGCCGAAAAACGCGAATACCGCCAACCGCCAACACGACACCGCCGTATGGCATTACCGCCGAATTAATACCGCCGTTTTATTGTTTTACCGCCACCGCCAAAGTCGATACCGCCGAAAAACGCATCACCGCCGAACGCTAAAACAGGTACCGCCAGCAAAACAGCCGAAAAAATGCCGCCGATTTTTTTCGTACCGCCACCGCCAAAGCCGATACCGCCAAAACATATACCGCCAAATAGCAATACCGCCGAAAACGTGTCCGCCTAAAAAACACGTACCGAGTAAACCCTTGAAAATATTGAGACGATAAGAATATACGAACGCCGGAGCATGTACACAACATTTCGATTGCCGGTAGGAAGCAGCAACACGGTACACGCACTGCACCGCTTCACATGTCTCCACATGCACACGTTCAGCAGCACCTTTTTCTCCCCCGCTGCCTGCTGACGTCATGTTGTACGCCAGGTCGTCACGTCGGCTCTACTGCACACCGCGAACAACATCGCCGCCCACCCGGTCAACGAGGTTGGCAAACACGAGAGTATCGTGTGCAAGTGCACGAGGAAGGCGAGGGCGTGTGGCAGGCTTTGCAACGGTGGATTCAGCACCACCAACGCCAGGGCATATTCCAAGAGAGGTGAGCTTTCCGGAACCGACCTTTCCACAACCTCAACTGCAAGAAGGGGGAGTATGTCTCCTCGTGAGCTACATGGCGGGCGGTTCCTGCTGTTTCCAAATTGGACACGTGGTGGAATGAGCTTTTTCTCTCCGGTTGAGCATAAGTCAAGCACAGCGTACTCGCTGTTTGCTGGTCGTCGTTGCCGAATCTGGGTGTGGTTTTCTCCATTGCGTTGTCGCACTGTTGTTCCCGGTTTTAACTTGCGATCGTTTGGAGTTGTCAACGATTTCGTGCACGTCGAGAGCCGGCGGTCCTGCTGGTTTGAAGGAGCAGGTAAGGTATGCGTGACATCACGCATGCAGTGACTGCCCCCCGTCCCTCTTGATCTGTTTACTCCAAAGTATCGCTTCGTGCAGATGCAGTTTCGGCCAGACGTGTTCCGTTTTCTTCTGTACGTTTCGGAATTCCCCGATTAGAGTCGCCCCGGGGGTGATATTTTCATTTTTTCAGACCCCCCCCCCCACCTCCTACTCTTGCGCTGTTACCAACACAATCGTTCACCTCCATGTTGTACGTCACGGAATAAAACAGTAATATTCTCATGCTCTTTATGCTCGTCGCGCATTTTGCTTGTCACCCCACCTAATCGAGTTTACGCCCGCTCTGGAATCAAACGTGAACTTTTTGTTTCATGTCGTTGCGCATCCATGCCTTCCCTTTCCCTACGTGCTTTGGAACAGTTTCTGGTACTCCATGCTGCAGTTCATAACGGGCCCGCGTCGCATAGCCTCCGGACTCCTGACCATCGCCAAGTCGCACTGCGGCAACCCCAAGATCATGCGCTTCCTGTCCCCGTGCGCCTGCGGGGACGACAATCGCATCGTGGAAGACACCCCGGCCGCAAACGTGCACGTCGACGATGCCGAGCTCGGCGCATTTCTCGACGAGATGGACGGATCAGCACTCAACATCCGCCTGGGTCGCGAAATTGCTGGCAGTGTTCTCGGCCTTAGCGCTTGGTATGGTGTTTGGTGGGAGTGGGAGGGAGCAGGTTGCTTGTACATAGCGTTCGGCAATAGTCTGTAGGCAGTCTATATCGTGAACCGGTGAAACTTTTATTTTATCACGTGTGTTATCGAGGCACGCGTCATACGCCTGCATTTTGACAAGTGCGTGCGTACCTTGGACGTGATACACACAACGCAGAGGTTATTTTGCGTGTCGCCGGGGGGAGGGGCACCCAAGTATGGCGGTGCTACGGGCATGGGGCAAGTAGGTTTGGTCGGACCTTTATTTCGTTGAGTTGAGTCTCCGTATGCACAAGAATGTGGGCTTGAGCGGGTACATGCAAGTTGCGTGAACCTGAAGGCAAGGGGTGCGATTTTTCGGTAGTGAAGGAATGGGTTGATACATTTTGTTTTGGATTTTTTATTGTATTTATGTTAATAAATTGTGTGGTTCACGATGCGTCCTGAGTTGGTTGATGCACGTCGTGACTACGTTTTGCAATGTCGAAAGTGGTCGTCGAAGTTTGGGTTTTGGGATGCATTCTACTGTAAATGGCGTGGATGAGCTTGAGCGTTGCTGTACGTGTAGGAACACCAAATGCTGCTGCGAGGGACGCGACAAGAAAATAACCAAACAAATATCGAAAGGAAAGGAAAATCTCCATTTTTTCGGCCCCGTTAGTACCACTGACTGACACGATCTCTACAGGGTTTTCCCAGGGTGTGCACCCCGCCAGGGTCCCTGAGTGGCAGGGTACGTACAGGGTGTGGGATCAGTACCCTGGCAGGGTACCCACCCTGCGTCACCCTGCGTTTGGGTCAAGACTACAGCGTAGTTCCAGGGTGACCTTGACAGGGTGAAATTTCCCCACCCTGGCAGGGTAGCCGAATGGCTACAGGTGCACCCTTGAAACTACACCAAGCTGATCACACCCGGCAAGACCTTCCTATTCTGGGAGAATGCGGCACATGTTCCTAAAGGTTGCAGGCCTTGCTATACTGCTGGATGTACTGCTGTAGCCAGAACCGCCCGCAACGCCATGGACGACTGAGCACACATCCATAGACTACCCCAATAGTCTAACTGACCTGCGGAATAAGCGCCAAAATGCTGCCTCTCCAGTGAGTGAGGGATAGCAAAACATTAGCATAGCAACCTCGGACTCGCCGACGCCCGCCATACATGCGGGCACTTCAACTGCAATGGCAACCGCGCGTCTAGCTCATGAAACGACGGCTTGATCGTGATTTCCCGTAGACGACTCGAAGATGTGTCCGCATAGCGAGGTCCGGTGTGGTTAATTGCGTTTCATACTCCCATAGACTCATGCCTCGTTGGCTCGTTTGAGGCAAACTCCCTGGTGATATGTTCGTTACAGTATCACGCGACACTACTGCTGATGGGCAGAACGTACATTGAGATATACGATACGGCCACACTCAGCCAGAGCATCCGCCCACCCGCACCCCGGCCTGCCATGCGAATACTGCCCCAAGGAATTATTTTGAGACGAGGTGCCTGTTGATACCTTTACTGCTGTTAGCTACGGCGGAGGAGGCGAGAGGAGAGATACTCGTTTGGTTGGGGGTCTGTCTCTCGGTCACCGCTCTTGTTCAATTTTTTTTGCAGCGGCAGCAAGTTGGCGGCAGCGGCCTCCTCTTGGAGAGAGGCACATCACACCAACAACACCCACACGCTGACGCTGCTACGCACCAGCATTGATGCAGTACGTACTGATGTACGCCTCTCTACACTTGTGCGGGAGGGTTTAGTGTGCGACCTGTGCCTTCCGTGCTAGTATGGTCACCCATTATAGTTGCCTCCCTCTCTTTGATGATGATTTACACCACCCCCCCTCCTAGCTAATGGTGTTGAACACCATCCCTCCTCTCTGCAAATCACACTGGCGCCCCCACACTCAATGTTGATCACTCCTAGAGCCGGAGTGTTTGCCGGGTATGCCCGTATTTGTGTCCAGTGCCTAGAAAGTCTCGTTCATGGCTTGTATTAGATCCGCAGGACAAACGCACGACAGACAGAGGAGAAAGAGAGTGCCCCACACAGTACAGGCTGACGCAGCATGGGGGCAACGCAGTCTCATCCAAGTCTGCCACAACAGGTACCACAGCAGGTCCCTTCATCTACGGAACACAGAACCGTCCTCAGCGGCCGGCGCTGTCGTGCGCGTCCTCAGATCCTTCCTATACATATGCACACACGCGAACACTCAACGCTGCTGCTGCGTGGTAAACGAGCCAATAGTAACAACGCACGAGCCTACTCCGGGTACTTTCTTTTCTAATCCTTTTCCCGATCTTGTAAAACCCGGGCGGACAGCACCCATACCGGTGTTGTGTATGCCATCACTTACCGCAAGGAAAAGGCGTGTGTTGAACATGCACCCGGCTATCAGGAATGATGGCGCACTACAGCACTATGTGCCTACGTATTCATACTACTCTACCTCCAGAACAACAAACCCATGTACATGATGTACCTCCAGGACAATAAACCCGCACACCATGTTGATGGCCTTCATTCGACGATGGTAACCGTGGGCAAGGGCCGCAGGACCCTGCGTGCCGTTGTCTGCGCCCTGCTGCTCCCTGCTGCCCATTTCACAGTATGTATCGCGCGTACACCAAATGGTTGGGTGTGCGTGAGGTCTACAGTATGTCCCAAGACAGGGGCCCCCAACCAACCACGGGGCCCCCGCTGAGAAGCCATAGACCAACAAGTGCCCCCAAGTCTACCCTTCAAGTCAGGTTTCAAACACTTTCACGCTGACTCAATGCTGCTGCTCTCTGATTGGCCAACAGATATTTTATCTTCCGCTCCTCATAAAACTCAGATTTCAACGCCTCTGTCTCTGCAATCTTCTGCTTTTTTTCGTTAGACTAGTCTACACACACACATATAACCGATGGGACATTGAATGCGAGCCACATCCATGCATCCCGTAGGCTACCTGGACAGTGCACAAAAGTGTCAGCGTATTGCCACAACCTATTGTCAAAACTGTCTAGTCTACAGCATACGCATGGCCGTGCAGGGCGCCGGTTTTGTGTTCTCTGCGTGAGGCAAAGTCTACAAAAAATGCTTCTGAGGAGAAGGTTTCTTCAGCATATATATATATATGCGTGCAATTCAATTCCGGGTTTTTGGAGCATCGGTTATATAACATCGACGATAGTCAAGCGAGCAGTGCTTCGCCACGCACAGCAGTCACGTGCTACATACATGCGACAAACATGCCGATGTGCAGCACAAGCACCGGCGTGGTGTGCCAAGCTCAGGAGAATCCCCTCTCCTCGCCATTGGATGTTCCCATCGCCGATCGACGTCTTTCCCGCCATGCAGTGCGAAAAAACACAAATAGAGTTGATATAGACTATCTAGCGATCTGAACGGGAGGGCTTTCCGAAACGATAAACAAGATCAGAACAATAAAGACTTCTACCTGAACGCATCAGAGAATGGCCTCGAATCTGTGTTCTTTCGGTGTTGAGTGAATATTTCTATCAAGGCTGAGCTCCCTGCATGAGATGATTGTCAGGGGATGGTTTGTTTGCGCACAGCTTGCGGCTTGGGTCAGCAAAATTCAACAAAATGAGCTGCTTATTCCCCTTTTCCTGTTTCGTTCCTAAACCCGTACGAAGTAGACTATATGTTCTCCTGCAGGAATGTGAGGATACGTTGTTGTACGGCATGTCGGCCGTGATTGTGTGGTTGGTCGGCGCGATATGGAAATCAAACCATTCATTAGGGTCGTTCTTATCGACCAATAAAACACGAAAAAAAACGAAACCGTGTTTTCTTGAACACACACACATATATATATATGGGGGTGTTTGATTTAATTAATTAATTGTTTTTGGGTTTTGAACACACATGTATATATGGGGGTGTTTGATTTAATAAATTAATTGTATTTGGGTTTGGGGAGTACATACATATGGTAACAACCGAGATTCTCACCCGCACAATGTCGTTCAAGTTGACCAACAATTCGTTCATTCGTGGCTCGCTATTTCTGTTGTGTTGAATACAGATTCTTTCAGGCTGGAATTAGATGTACAGAAGTACATTGCGCCAACTCCTTGACATATATCTACAACGAAGGCCTAAGTTCCGATCGACTCAAACTCGAAACGATTTTCCAAGACCAGAGTATAGCGCGGTGCTTCGCAACTGGTCCGGACAGTGCCTAGTAGATGTTTACAGTATCCGAAAGCAAAGCTCCACGCTAATTTCAGAACCTCAGAACCTCGCGCAAAACCTTTTTGCATTAGTAGATCCATCAGAATACATATTGAAGCGTATCTACGTGCTCGGGAATATTTCCTCGACAACAAAAGAAAGGTTGATACAGGCACTTTCTGTTCCACTAAAGGCCCATATTGGCCATACATTCATCACACTGGTCTTCCTGCTTTTCACTCCCGCTCTTCACCTACTTCACGCGTTTTTACTCATACAAGTGAAAAGTGAAAAGTGCTAATCAGAGCGGCCTACTCGAGTGACCCTTCGCCCTATCCGATGTAGTATATGTATTTCCCTCGACGCCAAACACACCACTACTGTTCGTTACATTGCCAGAATCGGATGCGGCTCTTTCCACGTGAACAATACAATCACATTTTCCTCGTACGTACTTTGGCGACGTTTGAGCCACAACAATGACCAACCAGGCAATCCCTGCCTATCTAAGTTTTCGCACCATGAGCATCACTTCCAATTTGAATGAAAGTTTAAAGAACAGCGGCCAATGAGTCTCCGGTGCCCTTTAACTGAGCCAGAAAAAAAAAACAAGTTGCGGGAGCACTACCTCCCCGGCACACTCGCACCTCTGAGCGATTAATCGTCAAAACCCATCGTATTAGCGAAAAGACCCCATTGTCCCTGAACCCAACATAAGAGCCAGCGAGCAGCTAGTCCCGAATTATCGGAGTCGACGTTTGTGAACATTGTTTGGAAACATGCCCATTTCCAATAAACACGTGCTCCGTGGGGCTGAGATATTTCTGCTACCTAAAAGAGTACCAGCCAGGTTTCATACTCAATTTTTCAATATAAATATTGGCAGATCATGTATTTTATGTATACCTCTCAGCACCTCCGTCATCCATGTGACCATTGAAGGCTTCGGCGTCAGTTGGTGCTTGTCCCGTGTACGTTGAGGGTGCCGATGATGACGCAGCGCTTGGTGATGAAGTCGTCGGTCGGTGGGCTGATCTGGCTTGCGAATTCCCAGGCAGGCTCGTCTTCGCGGGAAACGACGGTATTCATCATTCCGGCACCTGAACAACAAGATATACAAAAAAAAAGGCGAACGTCAGTTTCGATCACGCGAGCGAAGTTGCAATAATAGCAAAAGAACCAAGTTAAACGCTGGCGCTACTGATTCCGTAGCTTGAAATTTTGGCAGACAGGCACGTACGTACGCGTTCACAACAATAACGGTAATCGAAAGCATGGCATTCAACACAAATATATAAATAAATTTTTATTCTACTGGACTCCAATGCAATTCGATTTGCGAACGTGCCCTCATCGATCATAACGTGATTGCGTTAGTTCGGTGGGCTGGTAGGGAAACGCAGCGCCAGAGAAAGAATGTTGAGGTATATCGTTTTTTGCACAAGCAACAACCCAACACACCGTCAAAACTGACGGAGTGGCCAGAAGCGGTCGCGATCGAAATAATCCCGGAGTTGGGGCCAACGTCGGTCCACGTGTACTCGTCTGGTCGAGTTGTCGGGAGTGGTAAGGTGGAGAATGGCGCCGCGTGGGTGGCGGTCTCGATCTCATCCGCCCACGAAACCATAACGTACTCCGTATCGGACTCTGCGTCCGGCTGGACCAGCACACTCAACAGCATCTGAGCCTGAACATGAATGTACAGAAGTTTCCACGGAGTGAAAGGGGGCGGAGGGCGTGACGCCGAATTAGAGGAGATATTGCATTTTTGGTCGGACAACCCGGCTGTACCAGCGCAGGAAGAGACACTAATTCTGACCGGCGGTGTGGATAGTAATTGCGGGTGGGGCGAGCAACAAAACAACAGATTGTCATTTCTTGCCGTGGGCAGCTTCTTCAACAAATATTTTCGTTGAAAATCTGTTTCTTGCCAACGGTAACGAAGAGCAAGCGACAGACACTGTAGGAGGCGAAAAACGATGTAGCGTTAGTTTTTTTTAGTGTTTATGGCGGTCCCTTATACCGGAGGAGAAACTTTGCAAGGAAAACAAAAACAAACCAGGAGTAGAACCCACTTACAGCGTCGTAACCTTCGAACCAAGCAGCGTTGCAGCTCGCGAAAATTGTGATGGGGCCCTGCTTGAAGACCTGGTTGCAATTCGTTGGATTGGTTGGGCGGCATCAGGGCGGCGAGCTTGTTCAGCAACCAGCCAATATATATATATGATACGCAGGCTTCGGCAATTAGAGGACTATCATTGCATCAGCTGTTGTTCTGTGTGATTACAAGTAACTACGTTTTGTTTGGTCTCTTCGTTGAGTGCCCTTCGACGGAGGTCTGGAAACAAAGCTTTCGACAGTGGTCGAGTGGGTCTGGGAGCAGACATACTTGCTTTGTCTTTACAATAGGAGTTGGACCTCAGCTACCTGCACGGACATAGCAGCACCTGTTCAAGCCGAGCTCATGCCGAATGTGCTAATTTTTTGGCGCCGTTCCGTTCATCACCTCGTCTTGAGTTAGGTTGTCCACTGCCACGCGAAAGTGTTTTGATCCGCTTTCGCAGCAAGCTCCTTGTTGTTCTTCTTGGATAAGGGGCATGGGCGACTGTGTAGGCGAAGGTGTTGGCGAAGGCGTTGGTGAAAGCGTCGGTGATGGAGTCGGTGAAGGTGTCGGCGGACGTGTCGGCGAAGGCGTTGGAAATGGTGTTGGTGAAGGCGTAGGCGAAAGCGTAGGCGAAGGTGTCGGCGATAGCGTTGGCGAAAGCGTCGGCGATGGCGTTGGTGAAGGCGTTGGCGAAGGCGTCGGTGACGGCGTCGGCGAAGGCGTCGGCGTGGGACCAGCGTCGTCTTCGCGCGGCAACAAAATGATTGGAGAGAGCGGTTAGTCCCAAACGAAGCAAGGAAATGAGCACATGAAGCGGAGGAGCAGGATTTTCCACCTACCGGTGACCACATCATCACCAATGCATCTTCTATGTAGACCGTTCAATATGGTCTGTTCGTCGACCGCCTCTACAACGCAGGTGCACCGTATTCACCATGAATGCCCCCGACGACGCAACTGAGGAACGACGGAAGGGCCTCAACGTGTTATCCAGTAATAGTTTGGGTCAATTTTTTCCGACGAAGTACAATAAATAGACTTGGTCATGACCGTGGGCTACATGAGCTATAGTGTCGCGGCGGCGACAACGACGGCGACAACGACGGCGACAACGACGGCGACAACACAACAACAACAACAACAACAACAACTACAACATCAACAACAACAACAACAACAACAACAACAACAACAACAGCAATTAGACTACAAACCACAGCAACCTCGACAACAGCAGCAGCACTCACCGTCCATTTTGCACGGGGCACACCCTGTGACCGAGCAGAGGTCGGTAATGCGAGAGAAGCAGCAGTCGTCTGCCGTCCTCAAGCCGTTCCTCCTTCTGCATCCTACGCCACCGCACCCGCCCACTCCGCACGTTTTCTGTCGTTTGGACAAGCGTTGTTCACAGCATGGTTTGAACGACTTCAATTTTGGGCGTGATGGCCATATGAGAGACACCCACTTCCCATACAGGGTCGGGCGGCGTACTACCGAGGACCAGGGAGGTTGACACCAGATAATCAGAGACGAAGCGGAAACGATCTCGAGGTTGCCATGCAGCAATACCGCAAGCTCGGCGGGCAATCCCGTCGTTGTGGTACATACATGTACCGAATCTGGAAGTCTTACCGAGCAGCAATACCCGTCTTCGAGGATGCCATCCTCGCAGGTGAAGGCAGACTGACCATCACCACGTCGGTCGCCGCGGGCACCACCATCACGATCGCCACGACGACCACCACCAGCACGATCGCGACCACCACCACGATCGCCACGGCGACCACCACCAATACGATCACCACCATGGTATTGGCGTTCATTGTCGCGGTCTAGCGTGGGAAATTCTGCGTCGTCTTCGAGAGAGGAATAGCAAAACCAAGAGACAGGTGTAGTTGTGGAGAACGAAACGGAGAGTTACCCATGATTAAGTACAGGGAGGGTCGGTATTTCAAAGGTATGCTGGTGATTGCATCATAACGGATTCTTTCAAACGGTTTTGCTCCGTTGAATCTACGCTGGCCTTCGCGACGTCCGCACCCCTAACGATGACAGTTGTGAGCGACGGGTGTATTCACCACCAACGTTGGTATGTACTACGTGGTGATGATATTCACAGTAGGGTCGGCGATGTAAAAGTAATTACTAACGAAGACTCAAATACTCCCGACAAGCGTTTCAGAACTACTGTTGACTCTACCGTACAGTACGTCGCCGTCTAAAGGGTGATCGTCGCGCTTGTTTATGGAGAAGAACCCATGCATGCGTCAATAAGACAAATCCGCACTTGCCGGTCGTCATTCCTCGCCAATGATTGGGTATCAATATTCTAAATCGTACGTGACATTTGAGATTCCAGGCCGTTTACCAAACAACGACCACAACAACAACAACAACAACAACAACAACAGCAATTAGACTACAAACACGACAGTAACAGCAGCAGCACTCACCGTCCATTTTGCACGGGGCACACCCTGTGACCGAGCAGAGGTCGGTAATGCGAGAGAAGCAGCAGTCGTCTGCCGTCCTCAAGCCGTTCCTCCTTCTGCATCCTACGCCACCGCACCCGCCCACTCCGCACGTTTTCTGTCGTTTGGACAAGCGTTGTTCACAGCATGGTTTGAACGACTTCAATTTTGGGCGTGATGGCCACATGAGAGACACCCACTTCCCATACAGGGTCGGGCGGCGTACCACCGAGGACCAGGGAGGTTGACACCAGATAATCAGAGACAAAGCGGAAACGATCTCGAGGCTGCCATGCAGCAATACCGCAAGCTCGGCGGGCAAACCCGTCGTTGTGGTACATACATGTACCGAATCTGGAAGTCTTACCGAGCAGCAATACCCGTCTTCGAGGATGCCATCCTCGCAGGTGAAGGCAGACTGACCATCACCACGTCGGTCGCCGCGGGCACCACCTTCACGATCGCCACGACGACCACCACCAGCACGATCGCGACCACCGCCATTCCCATTGCCGCGACGGCCACGATCGTCACGATTGCTCCGCCCACGGTCGCCACGATCGCCACCACCGCCGCCTTTTCCGCCGTGGTTGATGCCGCGGTGTGAACGTTTGTTTTTCAAACTCCTTGACAACGATTGCTCGAGAGGCGGGCCGTTGGCCTCAGGCCCTCGGAGCCCGGCAGAGAGGGCGTTCGATACCTTGATGATTTCGCGGCCGTCGTCAGCTAGGTCTCGGAAGAGAGAATCGTTGTCCACGGCGCTGGTGAAGGTCAGTGACGCGGTCCCGAAGAATAGCAGTATACCCAGGAAGCCCATGGTGATCGGTCGTCCACCCACGGTGTTGTATCTATCGCCTGTGAAAGTATTTGCGAGACGACAGAAGGCAGGAAAGAGAATGGAGGCGGTATGTTATTGGTTAGTGGGTTTTGTGACGACAGGCAGCAAGCACCATTCAAGAATGTGTGCTCCGAAGCTCACGAGCTGTCCTACAGAAAGGACCGTCGTCATTTTGTCCGAGGTGATAGATGGTGAGGCGATAGATGGTGAGGAATCACACCTAGGGCACAAGGACCAGGCACGCCGGAGAGGGCAGGGAGCGGGTGATTGAACGAGTGAGGGGATTGACACATAGAATCAACATAGACTTGATGCATGCGAGTAATAACATCGTTGAAAAAAATGTCGCCGAGCAGCTCGTACCATAGTCTAAGCGGGGCGAAATCGTTGATACCATACCAAGGGACAGAAGACGAGCATGTGGGTCAGACTACACGTGCGAGGAGATTGCTTTTGGAGGCCACGAGTTCTGCACCGAAGCACGTGTCGTGTGCCATCTGAGTACTACATAAAAGAATACATTCGTGCATGACTCTGCGGTTGATTGACTAGTAGGACGAATCGACACCTGGATTGAGTGATGGGAGTGCGGTATAGCCTTACCAAACGAGAGATACGCTCGTTGCCGCCCGCTATAGAAGAGGCACCCAGCAGCTCTCACAGCCCGCGGGCACGCTGTGACTGCAGCAGAACATTTGGGAAAACATCTCGGTCCGCGCACGGGCTTTGCATATTACGCACGAAGAGCCGTTTCAAAAAAGAACAACAGGGCACTTAGGTTTTTTCAAACTACAGTATTAGTAGCGTACCGTAGCCCCTCCCGGAGTCTAATAATGCCCGCCTTTGTTGTCTCCTCAGAAAAGAAGGGGAGCGACCGGTCCTGTCTGTGTTGATCGTAAGTTGCATGGGTCGGCACCACGGAAGGAGTCGTGCATCAACCGGAACCACAACACACCGGTTACTACCTGCCTGTGACGACATCCGACACCAGTGCAAGCCGTTCTTTGTATGAACGACGCAGTGGGGTAACGTTGATCTCACCTGTCGGACTCAGAAGGCGGCAGATGTTCGTGACTAAGGTGGACAACTGAAAAATGCAGGAGGAGGAGAAAGTGCGTGACTTGTGGGGGAGATTGATGTTTTGAGCGGTCGTATGGGTCGTGTTCCCCTTCGAGAGACAAGACTCCTCAACGGCGTTCTACGAAATCTACGACGTGAACAGGAACATTTATTTGCGGGGAACGTTATAACGTTATTCATTCGTGATCCCGCCGCTCTCGTTTTTCTCCTCCAGGCCCGGGGGCGCCCTGTACAGCAGTAGGTGTCCCGATATAGTGCCGGTTGAATGGTGCCAACGTCCGGTATAGTGCCGGTAAAATTTCTCGACACAGACACAGGCCTGAATAGTGCCGGTTTGGCACTATTGAGGGCTGCCCGCTATAGTGCCGGTTCAGACCCCACCCACAGCCTTTTTTCGCCTCGAGCCTTCCACGCCAACAGGATTCGGAGACGGTAATCGGTACGCGTGACGTCTTCAAATGTCACGGTATGCGGATCGACCAGGTTCCACCAATAGGCTGGTGTAATGGTATTTGACCCCTTCCTTCAGAATCAATCACCTTTGAGCTGTGTGGAACTCTCTTGTCCGACCACAGTAGTAGCAGGTTGTTGTTGCTTTCCGTTGTTCTCTGTCTCTTGATTAATGCTTTCCAAGCCAACTCACAATATCCCGCGCACACACGATCATAGATCGCCTGTACGTACACACTGAACAGAAGGGCAGATGACTGCATGTCTCGGCATAAAGCCCTGATCTAGCATGACGTCATGTCTTAGCATCCGACGGCGCCAAATAACCATGATCAACCACGATCACATGTCTACCTCCAAATACCATAACAATAGCCCACCCTGAGTGGACGTAGATGCAGATACAAATACAAACCTCGGAGGGACTCTAAATAGTCAATCAAGAGGATTGCGGGATGGATCGAAGATACGACAACTCAAAACCCTCACCCGCACCGGTCCGGTTTTTTTGCCCACAACTGGCTCTCTGCGCTCAAAGATCTTCCAAGTATGCGTGTACACCCGTAAATCACGGCGGCAAGGATGGTGCAGCAGTGGGTCCATGTGTGGGGCTCACAGGGATGGGGACGCGGTATATGTAAGGGTGACGAACGGGAGTACAGTAATACTACTGCTGTACAGCAGTAGCAGCTATGCGGAGAGAAATAGACTACTGCTGTACAGCAGCAGCAGCAGAAGTTTCTGAGCAGGTGTGCATGCCTGTCTCCGACAGCAACCCTCCGCACAGAGGATGTACCTGTGCAAGCAATACCTGTTGGCACATCTTCTCCACCTCATCCTTGGACAGAGCATACGGCAAGCGCCAATGCTAGCGGCGCTAGATGCGAAGACGCTGACGGGAAACCGCCTCACAGAAGCGCCAGATCGACAAAAAACGGCCCGCTCATCAGAGAATCGAGACCATCATCCACTATCGCACAAAATGCATAAAAATCGTGATAAATTTAACTATTCTGTACTACAAATAGAGAGCTGTGATCGGAGCTGTGATCGGAGCTGTGGTCCCGAAAACCCTTGCCTTTGAGCGAAATTTTGCACACAGCAGACGAACCACCCTTCACTCCCAATATTGGGAACCACACGCACCGCAATCACAACAACATCAAGCACCGAGGCAATACATTAGCATCGGCTCCGGTGTGCGCTTTCTCTGCTCTTCCACGCCGATGCGGCACCGGGTTGATCACGTCCAGGGTGCTGTATGTACCCTCCAGTGGTGGTATTTTGACAGCTGGTAGGCAGTAGATTGGATCTGGAAAGGATATCTGCCCCACGTCAGAGAGATTAAGCATGGGTGAATAGTATTGTACTATGTGAGTCCTGTGCGCATTGCTGATAAGCGTGCTTTTGGGGTGGGCTGCCTGTGTCTCCCTGCTGGTCTCTATGTATGTTTTTTGCTCTTAGCCGAGGCACAACGGCGATTTTCCGGCACGCAGAGTGATCGGAGTTGAGAACGGAGCTGAATCGGCCTGTAGTCACATAAGGGTTAACCAAACCAAAGAAGCGGAACCAAGAAAGAAGAAAACAAAGAAACCGGGGGCGGCAAACTCGGCGGATAAAATCGGAAAAAGGCACATGGATGGGTGCGAAAAATAATCAAAACATCCGAACCGAAAAGACCATAACACGAAGTAACGAAATCGTGAAGAGAAAATCACAAACGATCTCGTACGAATGAACCGATCGAATACGCAATCAAGTAAGCCAGAACCTTACGGGAAGGGGGGCGACGATGCGATCGAGTGCTGAAACGTAAACATAAAGAGTAAGAAACGAAAACCGAGCCTGCACAGGATCAAAACGACATGGAAAACCGTTAAGGGTCGACCAAAATCGAGAAAAGCATGGCAAAAGGGGGTTTCCGGGGAACGTAAACAACGGCCGAAGAAAAGGACAGGAACCAACGCCAAAAAAAACGTTCGCATGTCACGATACAACGTGCTTGCGATCGGGGGGGGGGCGAGGAAAACAATCCTACTTGTACGTCAAGGCCAATTGCATCAAGAAAAATGCTGAAGAAAGTACCAAGATGGAACACGTTGGCCGTGGCATGCAATAGAAGCACTGGCGGAACGTTGGACCAAAAAATATGCGAAGCAAACCATAGGGGGGGGGGAGTTAAACGATGCACCAAATTTGGGCGTCACCGCAACTAATGACGAACCTAGGTCGCATTAAAAAATAGGGAAAGGGGAGCGAAAACTTTCGACAACCGACCGAGCAGTGACAAACGGGGGCGAGAAAGCACGCAACACAAAAGCAAGAGCCAGTCTCAAAGAGATTGAGAGGGCGAGCGGAAAGCATAAAGGAGCAATAGCCAGTCTCAAAATATACGAGAGGGCGAGCTAGAAACATACAGAAGCAACAGCCAGTCTCGAAAATAGATCGAGAGGGCGAGCTAGAAACATACAGAAGCAATAGCCAGTCTCGAAAATAGATCGAGAGGGCGAGCTAGAAACATACAGACAAACATACATAAACACAAACATGTAACACACAAACATATACAGATACATATACATACACATAAAAACAAGGGCAACACATCTATAGCCGTACCGCGCGATTCGTCTACATTGCGCAAGATACCTCGCATGAAGGGACTACTTCGGTGCAGCTGAAGGCACCAAAAGAACCACAAACAGCTCCCATAGCTGTTGTGTAGCGCGAAGGGGAGAGGGTGATCTTGACAGGTCCAGGGTCATCCAGGAAGCGAACGAAGAAGACGTTTGTAGTTGGAGTGTGTCCGGAGATTTTCCCTAGCCACCATAATAGAGCGTCTTGAGCCTTGTACCAGAAGTGTGCGCCAACAGGCAGCACGGTGTTGCGAAAACGGCGGGCCCAAACATCGCGGGGAACATATTCGAACCCAGGCCTTTGATGCGAGACAGTTCACGTTCCGCTACGCCGATGCGCATCAAACGATACAGACGGTTAGTCTGCCGGTGTTGGTCGGGTGTACCAGCCCAATACAGAAGAATTTGTTTTCGAGAGTGTTGGAGGTCCATTTCTCGTTCCCACGAGGGGCGCATAAAACCTTTCCAGTGGGTCTCGTACATGACTGCGATGACGCCGCCACGTCCTCGAACCGACTGGTGTCCCGTGATTTTCTCAACCTCGAGCCTACGGACAGGCGCCGAAACAGCGTCCGCGGTAACATGGTACGGCGGAGACTTCGTCGTGTAGTTGTTGAGAACATACTGCGTGAGGCCTGCAGGCAAGAACCGAGGCATGTCGTCACTATCGTGTGGATTCGCACACGGTTTGCAACGAGCGACAGAAACTCGGTGCTTGGCATCCACTCCGGGCATATCGGAGGGAAGATCCAAGTACAGGAGCTTGTCAGCCACCGGGCTGCCATCGGGAGCCTTGTTGCAAGGACCGACTGC